TAAAGAATACCTGGAATATATCTCAGAATCAATATTTAATAAAATAAAATTCCAGTAATGAATTACTAGTACAAAATAGACAAAACAAGCACAAAATGTAATAAAAAGACTTCAATTTTAGTTCAGCTTCCACCTATTTTGCCCAGTTATTCATAGACTTCACCTAAAACTTGTAAAAACTCAAATACTACAATATATTAAAACAATATCATAAATGTTAAAAAAATGTCCTTTCCGAAACAGGGATGTTTCGGAAAGGACATTTATTTTAACATGACACTGCAATTAGCACACATGTCCATGCAAAATAATATTTTACACAATCATGAAGCATAACATAAAGAACTAATGCAAGGTAAAGTGAAGTACAGAAGTCCTCAGAATATCTCAGAATCAAAAACTTCATGGAGTCACATTTAATACTGAAACAGGAAAATTACAAAATGTCATTGATTCGTCATATTTTGGATATTTTCATCCATTTTTTTTGCAAATACATAAAAGAGCAATACTCCCTGAGTAAAACTAAGTGGTTTTTTGGAGATCAATACCTTAAATTACCATAAAAGTCACACACTTCAAGGTTTAGCTTATGAAAATTAAAAAAATGATTTTCAAAATTCAAATGATCATATCTTTATACATACACAAGGTTTTATCTCGGGATTGTCATTTCTTATACCCTTCAGGTCTATACTTTCAAGAAAAGTACACATTTCAACACAAAAATGACTTCTATTTTTGACCCTTGGTGGGAAAAAAAGGAGCCCAGGATTGTAAAAATGCCCTTATTGGGGGGGGGGGGGCTGCATAAGTACTGATTCCCCCTGATAAAATAAGATATAAAAATCAACTCTTATTTATTGTAAGTGTAGAACAACTTTAAAAAAAAATGCCTTCCCAGTGACAAAAACAATATAGGGGAGTATTGGTTTGAAGAGGGTAAAGAGATTACCCCTTATACAGTCAATAACAATGTACAATATCTTAAAAGAATTCTAAATGTGAAAATAGTTTCATGGGAGCTCAGTTTTGATAGTCAGACAGTTTTCATTTATGACAGATCCACAAATATTTGATTTACCTGTTAAGAACTATCAGACTTAATTTTGTGTCTGTAGCATACATGCACATAATGTAAATTTCGTGCATATAAGGGACCAAGTAGGAAGATGGCTATGCATTCACATTGTCAGAATGAACTTTATTGATTCAGACTCAGAAGAAAACCCTCCTCGACTCCCACCATCAAAATGGACATTGAGAAGGAACCTGGTGGGCTTTTGGCTATTTGGCCTGTGCAATAACTATCCGTACGTGATTATGTTGAGTGCTGCGATGACCATTCTTCACGACAATGGGCTGCCATCTGGGGATGTTCAGGTACAGAATGATTTAATTAATAATAATTGAATAATTAATGGATTGAGTATTAAATTTGATTTTAAAAAATTGATTGAATAATTTTTTTGCATTGTTTCTGGGGTTTCTGTTGGCCTATGTAGCTGTCTTTTTTCCTATGAAAAAGCATTGTATTTATTCATTTGTCCAGTTTAATTTAATAAGATTTGAATTAAATTAAATTTATGAAATTGAAAATAGGACATTTGTCTGCTTCTTAAGTGTAAAATATCATTGTTATCAAAGAAATCAGTATTCATTCTGTTGACAATTTAACTGCATAATAAAGTAAAGATTCTCTCTCTCTCTCTCTTTCTCTCTCTCTCTCTCTCTCTCTCTCTCTCTCTCTCTCTCTCTCTCTCTCTATATATATATATCTATCCCTATTTAAATTCTGTTTCAGACTAACACAAGTTCCAATAGTTCAAGACACCTGCACTGTAATCCAATAGGGACAGGGGTGAGTCAAGTCAGTATGACACTATGGTCCAGCTGATATTGGTCATTATTATATAATTATCATAGAATACTGCCTAAGACCCCATTTCCATCTACTTTAGATCATCTACATTGATCTACTTTAGATCGACCTAACTCCCTGGGGGTTCAAGCTAAATAGCTGTCAGCCGGGCGGACACGAAAGTTAATTACCCCCTTACAGCTTGTAGCTGGATTATCTGACAGTAATCTAGTGAGACTCCCCGCGGGGATAGATCAATTTAAAAGCTCTGGGAATACAGCCTAATATCTGGGAATATGAGGTCTGACAAAAACAATACTGACCCAGGACACAGTCCGTGGTTTTTGATAAATCAGAGTGAAGAAAACTTAATTCGTCCATCAATCAAGTGACTGCCCAATCAGAGTTAAGGAAACATAGCATGCATCAATCACTGCAGCTCGTTTTCTGTCGCTTTTCTAAGGTCTGTACTCTATAGTCAACAGCTTAAGTCAATAATTGTATAACAGGCCTGTAGCCAGGTGGGGGTTTGGGGGGGGGGGTTGAATGAACCCTCCTCTTTGCTGGTAAAAGGTCCCCTCTGGATAAAATTTTATCTAGGTACACAAAGGGTTCATGGTTAAAGGTTTGCTTTTTCAGAAAAAGAACCCCGCTTTTGTAATCGCTGGCTGTGGGCCTTATCATATTGTCAATCTCAGTATTGGTCACCGATTATAAAGTTTCGGTCACATCACTTCCAGGCAGTGCTGCTGGCTGATATCCTCCCAGTGATTATCATCAAAGCCACAGCTCCTTTCTTCATACATAGAGTACAGTACAAGTAAGTGGAGCACGCTTTTAAGATGAGATTGTTTCCATCGTCATTATTTCATCTTCTTTTTTCGAATTGCGTGAGGGTTGTTCTGCAAAACATCTGTGTTGTGTCAGAGAGTCCCCCATGATACAGAGTCCGGTTCTTATTAATTTGTACAGGTAAGCCTGGCCCTAGATTTTGACCCATTCACGTCAGGCTAGGTCTAACCTGTATAATTAAATGGAGGGTGGACTCTCTGTTACATGGACCCTCAGTTTTGTCCCAGTTCTACAAAATGGTGATTGTCCGATTCATGTCAGTAATGCACACATTTTTTATGCACTATTGTTTTACATCACTTTTTAATTACAGATGATTTTTTTCCCATATAAGAGGATAATGATATAAAACAACAAATAAAACGTGGTAAGTCAGAATTATGGAAATATATGTGTGTATACTTACAACTTGTGTTTTCTATATTACTTTCAGTGTCAGAGTGGCATTGGTAATCTTGTTTGGTGCTGCCAGTTTTCTCACAGTTGCATTTTCTCTTGAAGTATGGCTATCTCTTCTGGGTAGGTGCTTGCTGCAGGCCTTACTTGGTTTTGTCATTTAATTAATTTTGTGACTGTGTGTTCAAATATACATCCTGGACTTTAATGACAGACTTAAAACAACAACATTTGAACACAAGTCCGTGCTACTTTATTTCTTTTTATATATATATAGGCACAAGAGCTGTATGCTGAGTGGCAGCCACTGTACATAAAAAAAAAAACATTTTGGTGTATTCTTATTTTAGATTTTGGTCTACACTGATAAAAGAGTAGAAGTCTCTTATAAAAAGAAACAAATGGAATATTTCAGTACCAATATTTAATTTTAATTTGGACTACTTAGGATTTATCCTGAATTTAATAAAACCAAATCTTTTGATTTTAAACTCAACACCCAATGACGGTCTAAAATTCTGTTGTAAATCCATCCTCAGCCGGTGTCATAGGCTACACAATCCACATTCTATTACCCTAACTTCATTTGTCTACCGCAGGTGTGGTGTTTGCCAGTGTCAGCGGTGGGTTGGGAGAACTGACTTTCCTGCAGCTGACGACTTTCTATGATGTGTAAGTGAACCCTCTTCAGTCATTTTGCCTGCAGCGCAGCCAAGCAGGTCTTTATGTTGTAGATATCCTTTTCTTCTTGGCACATTTTTTTAAATGGACTTATTTTGAAATATCTCAAGTTTAGTTTTATTGAGAAAGTTTTTTTTTTTTTTTTGTTTTTTTTTTTTGGGGGGGGGATATTTTTAGCAAATATTGTAATGTATGTGCAGAAACGATGGCCTTTAAAAGTAATTGAAACACACATGTAGTGCTTAATTAATTCATTTATTGTTATCATTATTATTATTATTATCATTATTATTATTATTATTATTATACAGGCACACAGTGTCAGCGTTTGCCTCAGGGACTGGAGGGGCAGGGTTATTCGGAGCCCTCTCTTACGCGGGACTGAGAACTGCCAAGGTGTCGCCCAGGAATTCTATACTCATTATGCTTGTTATACCTGTTGCCATGGCAATAGCTTTTTATATCATTTTGGTCAAGCCCCCTCAGCTTGGAGGACATTGTTTTGGTGGTAGAGAGTATAGTCTTCTAGCCCCAGGTCAGGAGAGCAGTAGTTATCAGGAATCTGGGAAAACTGGTGTGTACACTGGGTTCTCACAACTTCTGAAAAATCTGTCACATTTTATTCAACTCTGCAACCAAAACAAGGAGGAGGTTGGGTGTTCGCCTTTGTTGAATTGTTAATTTTCAGCTTAACTTTAAAATGTTCAGGAGAGGCCTAATATGGGTCAATTGAGAGTCATTTCTGGTGGTGATCCATTAATTATAGTGAAAGTCTGGCATCTTTGACTGCTTTTCTAGCTTAGTAATGCTGCAGAATTTGTGGACAAAGAAAATATGTCTTTGGGACATTTTCAAACTCAGTTAATTTTTATTTATTTTTATATAATGCACACTGAGTGGTTGCTCACAGGACTATTTCAGACAGACAGAAAATAAGCACAACTTTTAATTTTGTTGTCTCTTCAGGTGCTGCTATGTCAAGGTACACATTTAAGGAAAAGCTTTTTCTTATAAAGGTAAAACTTGCAGAAACTTAATTACATTAGTGTGAACATTTTGGTTGAGGCAGGCTGTATGTCAGATGGTAATGAGGAAAGCTACAGTACAATATTTAAATCACTTCACATTGAACTTATCTGAGGACAAGTAATATTTTTTGATCACGTCAAAAAAGAATATTAATATTTATAACTAGAATATGTTAAATGACTTCAGATAACATTTGATTATTCTGTAGATTTTCCCCACAACCAATTAATGGGGATGGTTATTTATTTTATGTGTAATATGAAGTGATATTATTTTTCCCAGCCCCTGCTCAAGTATATGGTGCCACTGACGTTGGTCTATTTTGCTGAATATTTGATCAACCAGGGATTGGTGAGTCTGCGGAATTAAAACGAATAAGGACTTGGGCTTGATGACTAAGCTTAATGTGCTGTAAAATATAAATTTTTGTTGAGATGAAATTAAATATTCATGGAGAATAAGTTCATCTGGGTATATAACACATTGTTGTGTAAAAGGTTCCTTTTTCCATCAGAAATAATTGGCAAGGATGTTAAAATACCTTCGTGCATAAAAGATTTCAAATGAAAGGTTTTAGAAAGATGAAAAGAAAAAGAAAAAAAGGGGCTTGTCAGCTGCCTGGTGATAATTGGTCATGAAGTTTAGAATCCTGGCCTGTGTGTTCTATGTTTAAGATGGACTAGGTGACATTTGAAAGTCATCATCTTAGAAACGTAAATATTGTCATAGGTACAAAATTAACTGCGTAATGAATTTTGCTACATGTATTTGGTCTGACATGATGATGATAATAATAGTGTACATTCTGTTTTTCAGTATGAATTAGTGAACTTTGAAGACATCTGGCTTACTAATGATGAGCAGTATGAGTGGTAAGTGACACATTTTCAAAATTCTCCTCACTGTACAGCTGACATTTTTAGAGAACGATTATTTGTTACCTTTGGGTTGAAAATAAGAACCAAGGATCTGGTTTCAAAATTGAGATGGAGCCTTCTGGTTGAATAAAAGCACAGAAAGCTCCCTTCTCCCCCATGCACCCTTGTTTGATTTTTTTTTTTATTATTATTATTCACCAAAAGGTATCAGTTAATCTTTTTCACACAAATCAGTTTTATAGATGAATTCTTAATGTTTGATCATGAAAAAACATCAAAAGAAGCATCAGTTTTGATATGAACTGATTGCAGCAGGACCAGTTCTTTAGACTTCATTTTTGACCTCTTCCCCAGGTACCAGATGGACTACCAGCTGGGGGTGTTTATTTCACGGTCCTCGGGCAGTGTTCTTCCCATCAACAGACTCTGGATACTCCCCATACTACAGGTAACTGGGAAAATTTTATCATATTTCATATAAGAATTTCTGGTCTTACAGTTCCAGATACTTTTTTTACCAATTACATATTTTTCTACCAGGGCAACAGATTGACTTTTCACAGATATTGACAGATATGTCTCTCGATAAATAGACAGTCATTTTGGTCTGATGTCACCTCAGCAAAAAATGTCCACAGTAATTACTGCGGCCCTGGTAGAGGGTACCAGATACAGGTGATCAAAATTACAACTTATACTCGGCTTCAATTAAGAGACATGCATGATTATATTTTCTTGGCGTTCTGTAATTTGACTGATCTCGTTTCCCGCCTTTCATTTTATTACCTGTTTATTTCAGTTCGTAAACCTGGGTGTATTTACCTCAGACGCTATACTTCGTTACATGCCCAGCATCTGGATCGTTCTGATGCTGATTTTCTGGGAGGGACTGTTAGGTGGCGCCGCCTATGTTAATACATTCCGTAAAATCAGAGAAGAGGTGAGCTTTCAATATCAGACCTTTGCAGAGATGCAAAAGACAATTTCCTCCTTATGAATGACTTTTTAATTTTTTTTGGAAGAGAATGTGTTGATAAATAAGTTTATTTTTATATGGTTTTTATAAATTTATTTTTAGAATTAAATTGTTTATTTTGCCATGTGTTACAGACCAAAAGATGGTGATGCAGTTTTTGTATTTCTCAAGGCTCTGTACAGAAAATTCAGTCTGCTTTAAAAATTAGATGCTGTTTTTATGCGAGCTCTATCAGTTACTCCCAGCATTATTGCTGTACATTTCTGTGACAATTATGAATATTGTGTAATAAAATATATATTGTATAATATTATAATGTATTGTAACCTATTGCCTATATTTCAGATCCCTGCAGACCATCGGGAGTTCAGTCTGGGCGTGGCGTCCCTGGGGGATGCTCTGGGGATAGCTGTGGCTGGGATGGTTTCTATTCCACTCCATGTCGTACTATGTGATAATGTGTAGGTGAAGGCATCTGCAGATGCTTCTTCTGGGTCCCACTTCAACATTTCATAGAAAATATCTTGCATTTGATTTTACTGCCTTTCATCATACAGCTGCTTTATGAAAGAAAAATGTATTCCATTTTTGAATTATATTTAATCATCTTTAACCAGATGAATGTTATATTACTTAAAATAACACCTGGAACGGTGCATAAATTAATACTTACAGCACTCAAGCACAAAGGTCTGTGTTTATCCTCATCTTATGAGAGGTGCATTGACAAGTGTATAATACATATGCAACATAGCACTATTTTTCTTTTACTTTTTATGTGCAATTTTATATCAAATTATGTTCAGATTTCACTGTTGAACCTCAAAATGTATAAGAATCTCTTTGTCTCCTCACCAGTTTGAATTTGTGAGAGCAATTTAAGACAATTTTGTCATTTTTCATTAAATCTCACACATACTTGGTGCTAGGAAAGTAGGGACCATTAATGAAATCAGGTTTTGTACAATAACATGTATCATCATTGTTTATTTTAATTGTAATGGTTACATGATTACATCACTTTTGGATATATCTGGTGAAGACTACTTATTGTACAGCTATAATGTCAGTGGTTGTGGTTTCATTTTTATCATGATGCACTCGCTCAACATTTATAAAATGAATAAAACCTTTTATTACAAAATGAAATTTTTTTCTCACTGATAATTTAGAAATGTAAATGTTATTGAGCTTTAGCAGCACTGCTAAGTTACCTAAGCAACATCTTTTTATACATAAAGTAAGTAGAAAACAAATTTTAAAGATTTCATCTTTAAAACAACATATAAAGAATACAAGCTTTGCATATCTCACATCAAAAAAAAAAAAAAGCATTTTGCATTTTCAACATGCATCTTCCCACATAACCCGTTTGTTTCTTTCCCTTCTCATTTCAGTTGTTTTAATTTGCACAATTTCTGTCCATTTCATGCTTTTTTCAGTCAACTTTTTCAAATTTATTCTCATATGAAACCTGTTCTTCCTCATCCTCCTCGCCTTCCTCTTCTTCTTCCTCTTCTTCTTCCCTATTGAGGAATACCACCAAGTTACTTGGGCATGAGTTAAAATAGAGTAATAATAAGAAAGAAAGTCCAATGAATATAACAAACACCAGTGGATAACCCAGCACGTCCACCATGTATCCAGCCAGAGAGATGAAGATTAGTTTTCCAAGAACCTCCAATGTCGCTAGGAAAGTGAAATGGGTTGCCTGACTTTTTTCTGGTGCATGTTGGGAACACTGCATCATCAAGGTGAAGGTCACTGTGGTTACCATGCCGCTGATTAGCATGAGGACACAGAAAGCCCACACTGCTGCATCTGCAGATATGAAAAGAGAAAATCTTGTAGAATTGCCAAGTTATGCTGAAAACCTGTGCTTAAATAATTTCTATTATCTGCCTTATAAATCCAAACAAAAACAGTACTGGCAAACATTTATTGTATAATTCAACCAAAAAGACAAGTATTTATATTTAAGTATGTATTTTTAATGATGAAATGACAAGTAGGAGAACTGAATATCACTTTAGTGGGATATATAAACATCTCATAATTTGTTTGCATATACAAAACTATAAATCTTGTTGCCTGAATAAGAAACTTCATTGTCAGCAATTCCCTGATATCCATACTCACAGTAGGAAAGAGTGGTGCTGAAGATACCGGTATCCCATGATGCCACCACCCACAGCAGAGCGCCAAGTGGCAGCAGACGACACACACTCAGCTGCTTCAGGACAAACACTGCTGGAAGCCTGCAGAAAAAATAAAACATCTTAAAGGGATAATAACTCTTCGTATGAGATCTATATTTCACTATAAAAACCTTGTGAATAACTCATAGAAATATAATATATTCTGTTTTACCACAAAAACAGTAGTTATAGCTTTTATTCTGATATTTGAACTTGTCTTTAGACCACGTGACCTCCATTGATGTCTATACTCTGTTAAAATCTCTTAAGAGATTTTAACAAAAAACCAAACTTTTTAGAAAAAAACCAGGAACTAACTTTGAATGTAAAAATGGATTCATTAACCATTGGTAAGTATGGGAAAATTGTTGTTTACTCCAGGAAAATTCATTTTTTGGCCGAAACGAAGAGTTATTATTGCTTTAAGCCAAGACATTTCTCAAAAACTAGCAAGCAGATAATAAAGATCAGGCTGACAAAAAGAAAAGCGCCTCTAATTCAACTTTACAGTAGAAAAACACTTTATAGTAGAAAGACGCATTTTTTATAAAATCAGCCAAATATTTTTTCCATTGGCTCTTAAATTTATGAGATATATTCATGATTAATTTTAAACTGAACTGGCAAAACAGAAATAAAAACTTTCTATCTTTACTCCTAGCACACCTACCTTATCTGATTTGATTTTACAGCGGTGGTTTAAGATAAGAATTCTTAAGACTGGACATTTTTCAACATCCAAATTTAACATATAACAAGGATGTTACTCACCCATACTTGGACAGGACCCAGCCGCCCAACATGGATCCACATATGGAGACGCTCTGGCCCACGATACCCGTCCACAGCCCTATGTCTGGTGCTGCCACCTTGTGGTCCACCAGGAACAGTGGAAGCATGTTGCAGGCACCCTGTTCTCCTGGTAAATATATATATATATATATATATATATATATATATATATATATATATATATATATATATTTAACTTTATGGTAAGATATTTTCAAATGCCTGATTAAATAATTCATAATTCTATGTGGAAAACAGCAAATGATTTATTAATTTTGCCAAATCGTCAGTGAATTAGTTATGAATTAGTATACGATAAGAAAATTATGCTTATGCTTTCCGTAGGAACTTCGACTGCATTTTAACTGTAAAGTTGTGACTACAAGATAAAAGATTTCACACAGCAGAAGTAGCGGAATCTTTTTACCCCCTCTCTCTTCTTTCTAGAAAAAATATAATTTGAAAAAAGTCTCCCAGACCATGTGACCAGTGAACTAATTAGTATTAGGCTCATACTGCCCTATATATATATATATCCTATATATCAACTGACTAATCAATGCGCACATAACAATTTACCAATAACTGCTCACCTAACTTGTACAACAGCACGTAGCCAATGACCCACTTTGTTCCTGGAGTGTTGAGTATATTGCACACAAACTGCAGCCCACCATTTGACAATCTTTCTCCCTGGTCAGTTTTGGGTTGTCCAGAGTCATGAGAGTGACCATGGTGATGAGAGTAACCATGGTGATGAGAGTGACCATGTTCATCAAGATTATGAGATATGTGCTGGTCAGGAAAGTGGCCATCGTCTTCATCTTCACAATCAGTTAACATCCCCTGTTCCACCATGTCCAGGTGTCTTAACATTGGGGACAGGTACATGAAGAGCACCGCCTCCACGTACAGCGCACTTAACGTCAGAAAAGTCCCTAACCAGCCGATAATTCCCATAGTCCATGTTAAAACTCCTCCCCCAAAGAGTGACCCAACTTTATACCCTACCACTTGAGCAATGTTTCCCTGACTTAACTCATCAGGGTGGAGAATCTTAATAGCGAGTCCGTCCACCGCAATGTCTTGCACTGACGTAAAAATATTCAATATTAAAAGTACGCTACATAGCAGCAGAATGTGTTCAGGAGTAATGAATGCACCTATTGCACAAGACAGCACCAATCCAAGCATGCTCCCAATGAGCCATTTTCTTTTTGTGCTGTATCTGTCCACAAATGGTGCCCACAGCACTTTGCAAAACCAGGGGGCGAATAAAAACTTGTATAATCCAACACTGGTTAGAGAGACTCCTTTACTCCGTAAGTATACTGGAAGAAATCCTGTCTGTATTCCATAAGGCAATCCTTGTACAAAGTACAGGAAGAAAAGCACCACTAAGTTCTTTGATATTGACTTCAACATGATGGCAGTGACCCTGAGCTTTTGCCTGGAAATATAACATCATAATGCTTACTTATATTTTTCAAAAATTAACAAAAGATAAAGCATTACAGTAGATTTACAAGGTGGACCTAGTAGTTTTAACATTCACTTGTATGTGCAGTAAAAATTTTGGCATTTGGCATCACCTAGGTAATGGTTTCTACTTGGCTGTGGTGTTCACTATATTAAGTGTATCATATTGCTATGAATATCAGCATGCATCTTCATGCCTTCATATGTATATGGCAGAAATATTGATTTATACCCTTCACATGCAAGCAATATAGATTATACTTGAATATCTCTAAAACTAGTTTAAAAACAAAATTTGACATAACATGCCATATTGCCTGTATTTCAGAAACTTAATTATAAGTGTTATTAAGTGAATTCAGGGAAATACAAAACTGATCAACATTGGTCTTCGTGAAAATATCTTTTTACACCAGATAATGAAGCTTAAGTAAAAAATGCTCCTACTAATTATTTTCAAATATATCTCAGCCCCATGTGTCTTTTATACCTAAAAAAGCAGTCGTTTCAAAATAATCAGTAATACTAGTACAGAACTATTGATACCAATCACCTGCAGCATGTATCCCATCTTTACAATGTCATGGCTTCTAATTTCCCATATAACTATGAGAATTCTTCTGTAATCTCAATATCTACTGGAGTTACTGCTTAATTATTGATACTATGTGAGAATCCAATGGTAATCATGTTTGCCAGCTGTAAGGTTCTTAACCTTTAGAGCTTTTGGTCACATGGGGCAGCACTTGTGGATACTCTATCAAGATAAGCCCATCCCCAATTTTTGACAGTTCAATCATGCAAAGATAAATACCAACAGACACTGGACTAACTTACTAATTTACACATTTTAGTCTGCAAGCAAGCTTATCGGATATTCACCCTTTTAACACCATGTATCAAAAAATTAATTTAATTCAATTCATTAGGTGACTTTAAACTATAATTATGATATGTATTAGAAAGCTTTGGGCCTTTTATTTTTTAACTTTTTTAATGAAAAAAAAAAACAGTACATGTTGCCTTCAAATTAAACTCATCATACTGCACTTAACTGTATCCAAACAGATCACTACAGTGTTGATTTTTAACATTCACAGCAAATGCTACAAGATACTACAAGAAGTAAGAGACATATATATATATATATAGTATATTCATCATGCCTGCTTCAGCCCGCAATAATTATTCTTGAGGTGCTTAGGTACCAAAAACAAAAGTGAAAGTGGACTTACTTCGATCATATAATCACAGCCTCTTCTTGAATACCAAGCTGGTGACCGAATTTCCCGTTTTTCCTCCAAACTTGAACACTGGAGTTGGAATGGCATCAACCAAAGTGAATGCTGGAAAAGAATTATGGTCAAAGTGAGCTAAAATTCTGATATTCAAGTTAATTTTCTGACTTAAGCTGTGTAGTGAAACAAACCCTTGGTACCTCTATCAAACAACTTCTTCAGTCAAAGTCGACTAAGATTCTGATCTAAATGTTAAGACCAATATTCTGGCTAGCATTCTAATGTGAAATTGGTGCCTTTATCAGAACTTTCTCTCATGAAACTAGTACCTGTATCGAACAGCTTTAGTAACTCCTCCTTGGTCCAGTTACATGAGGTGATAATGAAGAGTCCAGTGTCCTTCAACAGGTGGCCGACATTCACTGTGTATTTTTCCCTCTTTCCCTGGGCGTTGTCTGGGCTCAGGCTGATGGCGTCAAATGTACCTTTGTCTACCACTATGTCGTACCTGCTTCTTAAACTGGCACTACTGGTGTCTGGTAGGTCATCAAGAACGTCAGCAACCTGTTAATTATAAATCAAATACAAATACAGTTTCAGTCCTAAGGACTTATAAAGTCACCAGTTTTGCCATTAGTTATATAATAGCTCCTGTCAGATCCAGAAGCTGTAAAAGAGAAAAGCTGGCTGTACTTCTGAAAAAGTCTGTGAAGAGTACCCGAGGTCTCTCTTCAACTGCCCCCAGTTAATAATTGTAAAAGTACTTGTCCAATTAAACTAAAAACTTCCTTCTTTTGCTTCTTCTGTGAATATGTGAAACAAATACAGAGGAATGGAATTAAGTTCACACACCTCATATTCAATGGTGATGTCCTCTGCCTCAGTGACAGACCTGGCCAGCTGAATGGCCGCCTCACAGTAATCCACCCCCACCAGATTAACAAAACCACGCTTTCTCTGGAAAAAAAACAAATTCTTAAACGATTAACACTATCTTCAGGATCTTTTAAGATATTAGTGCTCATTAATAATAACTCTAAGCATTAGCACATACTATATGGAATTTTACTAGGAACTTAGAGGTGATACTCCATGGGTAATTACAATATCTTGTTAAGCAGCAGATTTACTGCTGTCTACCTTGATAAAAAGTGGTTTTCTTTTTTTTTTCCTGAAAACCCACCAGTTCAATCAGCAGTGTGCCATTGCCACACCCCAGATCTAAGATGGAGTTTTCTTTCTGCGTCAGATCACTTTTTTCTATCCAGTCCGCTACTCTCTCAATACTGTCATAACCAAACCTGAACAAAAAAGCTGCAAAGTTAACTACTGTAGGCCTTTTCCAAGTTAAGAAAAAAACACTTCACTTCATGTTTTTATACTAATATAGACAATTTTAATACAGGTTTACAGATCACAGCATCATTCATTTTCAAACTCAAAAATCTGTACTCTATTTTTGAATATTGAAAAATAAAAAAGAACTTTTTTACCAAAATTAAATGAAGAGAGTCTTGCATGCACTCAAAATTAACATGTGACATGTGAAAATAAAAAATAGATAGAAGAAAAACATCCAAACAAAATATTATTGACTTTCCATTTACTATAAAGTATTTTACAACACAAAAATGCAATTTTGTTCCATTTTTAACTTTTATAAAATATCTCACTTTTCCTACCAAACCTCTCCTTCATCCCCGGTTTCTTGAAAACTTTTCAATTCTCTCTCGTAGGCTCCATCCCAACTGGAAATAGAAGAAATCACAAATATGTTGGTCCTAGGTATGACATTACCTGAAGGAAAAGGGTGATTACCAATCATTTATCCAAAAACAAACAAACTATAGTTATTTCACAAAATAGAATATGACGTGTCAAGTCTTTTTCTCATTTCAGACCGAAGGAAACATGCACAATAAAGTTTAAGAAAGGGAAGAATTAACACGATAACAACAAATGTAACGTTAATGTAACTTATTTTCCATAAATAATTCACTCGCATTATTTATGGAATTGCAGTGAATTATATGGTTCTGTAGTGCCAGGGGCAGGTAGAACCGGCCTGATAGCTCAGTAGGTAAGAGCACTCGCCCTGTAAGGGAGGGGTCCCGGGTTCGATTCCTGGCCTGGTCGGTGATTTTTCTGCACTCACCCCAAATCGCTACAATGGTGGCAGCGGTGTTGCGAGATAGGGCTCGCGTCTTTCGGCATTTGGGGGGAGGAGTGTAGTGCCAGGGGCAGGTAGAACCGGCCGGGTAGCTCAGTAGGTAAGAGCACTCGGTTCGATTCCTGGTCTGGTCGGTGATTTTTCTGCACTCACCCCAAATCGCTACAGTTCTTTGGCCCTTGCCCTTATGTTACTCAGCAACAATGGTATTTTTACTTGATTTATCACATGACGATAACGAATTTTGATCATTCTTCTTTTACAAGTACATGTATGCACTATGTAGAACAAATCTTCTTTCGATCGATTTGTTAATGTTATACATGTTGTTAATGTTATAATACATGTACTTGTTGCACGTGATGTTTTGTTTACTTCAATTATAAACCCGATTACAAAGGAAACAAAAAACTGGGTCTGGCATTTTTGTGCATTATTTCTTAACCAACTGTGGCCAGGTATACATGCAGTTATTTCTATTGAACTTACTACTGTTTAGTGCCCAATTTCGATGACTCAAATCCACCGTCAAGTGTGTCACAGGGCGCTGCCATATTTCAATTCACAATGAGGCGCATGACGTCACTCTGGTCACGAGAACGACCGCCATATTGGAGGTGGAAAAATTGCAGTAGCATCGGAAGAACATTTTTGTAAAAATATCGCAATTTTGGTGAGTTGACAGGTTTTCAGGTGGTGATGAGATGATCAGACATTAACTGTTTGTTTATGAATATCTTTTTTATAATGATTGTGGCAACATTGGTGTATTTACGAACTTGCTGCGTTTTTGTTTTGTTTGGCGATTCATTTTATTCGTTCTCTGATTCGATGTCTTTCACTTCATTGAAATGTCACCAAACAAACAGTTGAATGGTGGTCAGAAGGTTTTAGTTTTAATAAAACACATTGTTAATTTGACATAAAGAAAACAATAATACTGTGAAGAATAAGTATAAAGTATTCGTGACATAGTCGTAAATACTTTTTGTGCTCTTGTAAAGTGATTTCCTGGTTTTTTCATTTGTTTTGGTTTTGTTGATTTGATAATTGTAATTGTTATATAGTTTGAAGTGCTCCAGTTTTGAGATATTTGTCGTCCTTTTGTAACTGAAATGTGATCTGTATCTGGACTTATATAGGTCATTGATAAATAAGAGTGCAGAGGGGAGGTGTTGGCCACACATGGTATTACATGGAAAGTGTCACTGCCTGACATATGGATCTTTTCACCTTGTTGAAAATGATCAACATATGCAATGGAATGAATTGATTTACAGTAGTCAATAAGTCCCACTCCCCAGGCCAGGCAATCTTGACACAAACTGTTTACCTTTGCCCTCTGTTTTCTATCAGATTTTGGTCAGATAAATGGTTTGTAACGTAGACCATGGACATCAATTTGTGTGCAATTATGCAAGATGTTATGTGAAAAACTGTCCCTAGTGTTAATGGTCTCTTGTAAAATCTGCCTACCAGTAGATTTAAAATGTAATGTATTTCCTTTGAAATGTTATAAATCCTAAGGTAGAAACTTTAATGGAAAAAAATACTTTTGCATAGGAACAGGTGCATTTTGATGTGGCAAACAAAAGAATTTCACTCCAGTCTTGATAGTTCCCTCTTGACATAACTTCAGAATATATCACACTTGGGTAAAAAAGGGGGAAAACACTTCCTTTAGGCTTGATGATTTGTACTCACATTCCACTGATCTGTCTTAAAACCCAAGGATAGTTGGCCAATGGTTATTTCTAATGTATACTTAGAAAGAGAGAGAGAGAGAGAGAGGTTAATTGAGGGATAAAACAGATGGCAGATTGAAATACCTGAGGAGAAGTGTATTATCCATCAAACAATTGTATAAGTGATCTACAAGATTTCAGACTTCAGTCATCTTTAATTATTATACCAAGTTTTAATCTTTTTCACAAATCCACCTGCATTAAGATTTCTCCCTGGAGTTCCAAGTATACGGGTTCCTATCCGCATTGTGTCTTTTATGAGAGTTCTCTTGTTTGTGATATTTGAGCAGATTTTAATCTCTTTTGTTGTGGAAAAAAACATAAATGTCAGATTGAGGGTGAGATAAGGTTTACATTTTATGAGAACTTCTTGTAGGTCACCGCCTTGCTTACTAGTATGCACTGGACTTTATAGCCCTCATCCAGTACCTCTTTTAAAAAAGTAATTTCAACCAATCACCCAAATAAATATTGTGTGACCTATGAAATTGTGAAAAAAAACAAGGGTTTTCTGGTAGAAATACACCTCTCACTTGCCATGTGCAGAAGCTGTTTATGATTGAACTTGCTGGAATACTAGAACTGTTTCCTTATCTGTCTGCGTCTTGGACTACAGCATATTGAAGTGAATGTCTGATATCAGGTTACTTATATTAATCATGTGTGCATTTTCATAATAAGTATTATGACAGGTGCTGCCACACTACACCAGAAGTTTGAGACGACCTTTTTTTGCTGTGCTTGGAGAGTGACAGATACATTTTACGCTACATCCTGAATGTTGTATAACACATCTTTTTTTATTGTTGCAGTAATTTTCACCATGTCATCTAGAAAGAAGGTATTATTGAAAGTCATCATCTTGGGGGACAGTGGGTGAGTACGTGGCACTTCAGTTTATTAAAGGGACAGCAACTGTTGGTTTTGGTAAAAAAGGAATTTCCTGGGGTAAACTATGATAATATTATACTCACCAATGGTTAATGAATCCATTTCGACATTCAGTCCTTTTTTTTTCCAAAAAAAGTTTGTTTTTTTTTTTTGTAATAATCTCTGAAGAGATAATTGCGGAGGTATAGCCATCTATGGAGGTCAACGTGGTCTGATGGCAAGCACAGATTTCAGAATAATTTGACAACCGCTGTTTTGGTGGTAAAATAAATTATACTTCTACGAGTTGTTTACAATGTATTTATTGTGAAATATAAATCTCAAATGAACACTTGTTATCCCTTAAACTATAAATAAACGCGCAGTAGCCTGAAGGTTTGCTGTAGCTGACGTGAGTGTAATCCACAGAGAAATGATTGATATGCTGAGGCCAATTCATCATTAAATGACTGGAGGACTGTTGTTTGTCCCTATCTATTCACTTGTAAAATATTAGATGAAAAGATAGCTGCCTTTATCATGTGGCTTACATTTGCTATCAATTTACAGTCTTATTGATTGCCTCTTGATAACTTTGATAAGGATATTTTATAAAGGGAATTTTTATGAACTTGAACACAGGTATGAATATATATAAAAAGAGAATTTTAAAAAGGTATGTCAGAACATAGAGATATGCATGTCAAGTTAATTTTATTCTTCTTTGTGAATTAATTCATAAGGTTATTGGCAAGTGATATGAAATATGAAAGGTCTTTTATCCAAATACATTTTTTGCCAATTTTTCCCTTACAGTGTCGGGAAGACGTCCCTGATGAACCAATATGTGAACAAAAAATTCAGCAATCAGTACAAGGCCACAATTGGAGCAGATTTTCTCACAAAAGAAGTCATGGTAGATGACAGATTGGTCACAATGCAGGTGAGGACCCAGGGGTTGAGGGAGGGGGGGGCAGGTGAGGACCCCAGGGGGAATACAAGATGGAACCTTGCTTGCTCATAATTTTTTCCAGCAGAGTTTTATATTTGTCATTTGATTTTAGACTTGGGACATGGAAACAGGAAATCACGTAAGATAGTGTCAGTCTTGTCATGGAACGCTGCAGAAACATGTTGTTCAATTATGTTATTATTGGTCCTGACACCTTAATCTATATTTTGATGTACAAAACTCTACTTGGTCTACTATAAACATTCACTATACTGCACGGTTACTGTGTAGCACTATACAACATTGTCACCTGTAACTGACCCTTGTAGTAAAGACATCTTGTAAGTGAGTAAACAAAATCATTGAATGTTCAATTTATTATTATTGTTATTATTATCATTATATTGCCAGATTTGGGATACAGCGGGCCAGGAACGTTTTCAGAGCCTGGGCGTGGCCTTCTACCGTGGTGCCGACTGCTGTGTACTGGTCTTTGACGTCACCATGCCCAACACATTCAAGACGCTGGACAGTTGGAGGGACGAGTTCCTCATCCAGGCCAGCCCCAGGGACCCCGAACACTTTCCTTTTGTGGTGATTGGGAACAAAATTGACTTAGAAAATAGAGCGGTGAGTTTGTTGCTTGTTGTGTTGGAAATTTAGGCGGTTGGAACAAAATTGGCATGATAAGGAAAAAATGCAAATATTCCTGTTAGTTTTTTTTTTACTTTTTATGTTGAAGATAAGTAAGTTGTTTGGATTAAATTGGCAAAAAAATAAATAAAAAATAAAGACTGTGGATCTGTCAGGCCCTTGGAGATGAAAGTTTTACAGATTATGTGGAAATCTGAATATTTGCGTGCTGTATTGATATCCCCAGATGGCCCATATAGAGCTGTACATCGCTGGCACTTATATTTTCGTATTCTTCAAAAATGTGTCCACCTTCAGCTGTGTACCTTAATTGTGTAAACATATAATATGGCTTTGACAACTAAATTGAAAGGGGTTCATTCCATGTTTTACGCAGTAAATAGGTTGCATGTCCTCATTTTAGACACATTACATATAGAGCAGTTGGTAGATTTCAAATGGGTGCTATTCATTCTCTCTCACATTTTTGCAGTGTTTTGGACGGTGAACAGCAAAAATGAAGCCTGAATAATCTTGACAGTTTGTAATCTGTAAAGGAAAACTGCAGTGGGCTTTTTTTTTTTTTTTTTTTTTTTTTTTTTTTTTTTTTTTTTTTTTTTTTTTTTTTTTTTTCTGCGCAGAAACATACATAAAATCTAATAATCTCCAGGCAGCTTGTGTGTTCAGTTGATCAATAAAGATGGATGGCTTGATATTATTGATGTGGACAGTAATGAATTGGAGTGTGTAGCAATAAAGGGCCCCAGTGCTTTATCACATCTGAGGAATAGAATTTTTTTCTTTTAGTGAATAGATGTTAGAAAGGATGCACTTCCAACATTTATTTCTCAATTTGACAACCTGAGGGGTGGTATTGAAGAAGAATTGTATGGGTTTGTGCAGATCATGAAATTAATGATACATTTGGAGATGATTGGTGTGCAATTACTGTCAAACAGAAGGTATTATAGTGCAGACGAATTGTGAACCATTTCTTATTTTAAGTTGAGTATATGGTTGTAGTCTTGTTTGTTCTAATAGTGTTTGTGTCTGCCACCAGGTGTCCACCAAGAGAGCCCAGGGTTGGTGCCACAGCAAAGGTGATATCCCGTACTTCGAGACCAGCGCAAAGGAGGCCATCAACGTNTTGCGCAGAAACATACATAAAATCTAATAATCTCCAGGCAGCTTGTGTGTTCAGTTGATCAATAAAGATGGATGGCTTGATATTATTGATGTGGACAGTAATGAATTGGAGTGTGTAGCAATAAAGGGCCCCAGTGCTTTATCACATCTGAGGAATAGAATTTTTTTCTTTTAGTGAATAGATGTTAGAAAGGATGCACTTCCAACATTTATTTCTCAATTTGACAACCTGAGGGGTGGTATTGAAGAAGAATTGTATGGGTTTGTGCAGATCATGAAATTAATGATACATTTGGAGATGATTGGTGTGCAATTACTGTCAAACAGAAGGTATTATAGTGCAGACGAATTGTGAACCATTTCTTATTTTAAGTTGAGTATATGGTTGTAGTCTTGTTTGTTCTAATAGTGTTTGTGTCTGCCACCAGGTGTCCACCAAGAGAGCCCAGGGTTGGTGCCACAGCAAAGGTGATATCCCGTACTTCGAGACCAGCGCAAAGGAGGCCATCAACGTGGAGCAGGCTTTCCAAACGGTGGCGAAGAACGCACTAGCGCAGGAGACAGAGGTGGAGTTGTATAATGAATTCCCCGATCAAATTAAGCTCACAAATGCGGACGCTAATAAGAAACAAGACGGATGTGCATGTTAATGGAAGCTAAGGACCTATGAGCTTGGAATTCTGGGAATGCATCATTGTTATACTCTTTTTGTAAGAGCAACTCATCTAGAAAACGTAATATATTTCCTAGGAGGAATTTACAGTAAAAAAAAAACTTGCTCCTGATGCCATAATGAAACAACTGGCTCAATTTGTTAGTCACTCCAGTTGTGTAACAAAATGAATTATCACCATTTCATCATATCAAAGTATAAAAAGGGATATTTTGGTGCATGAGATGGATTGGACTATCTTGCAAACTCTGAACAAAGCTCCTATCTTGTATTGAAATGGTACTATATTGAGAAAGAAAAAAAGATATTTATAAATGTCATCAAAACTCGTGAGATCACTGAATCTTTATTATCAATGTAAATCTGAAAAAGAAAAATAAACATGATTACTATTTACTTAAGTATAGGTTAGGACCAAACAAAAGATCGGGAGTTCATTTTCTCTGAAAATTCTCCGTAATCATGTAAATCTGATCTTCATGATATAACAGGACGACAGTAGGGCAGATCATGCATTCTCATTTTATTCAGCATAAAGGGGGTTGAGAGAGATTCATCTATTAAATTGGGATACAGACCTATGAAATAATGGGGGAATTCAGGGAGAGTAAGAAATAGAAATGGACAAAAAACTGTTGATCTTGGGTGATATTTGGATAGCTTGATGGGAGAGGGATGTTAATGTTCACCAATTTTTCCATTGGGGTCAAAGTTTGGGAGGCTATGGAACCAATGGAAAGTAAGCAGTCAGTGAGTGATGGTGTGCGTAAAGTAAAGTATCACCCAATGTACGACTTTTCTTTGTTCTCTCACGAGGAAAATAATTATTAGGATCTGACTTTTCACGACCAATTTTGACCATTGTATAAGGAATGTGAAAATGACACTCAAAAGACAATGAGGAGAATGGTGATATTTTTGTATGATATTTGAAAGAAAAAAATTAATAATCTATTAATGTACAGGAACCTGATGGTATTTGATTAATGGGTATTAGTGCTGCCAGAGACCTGGTGGCACTAGCAGGTTGGGAGCCTATAGTGCAAGGAGACATATATATACTATCTATATATATATATATATATACGTATATATATACATGCAATCAATGTGACACCTTGTATAATGCGACGCAGAGGTGCACCTTGTACCCAGGTATTGAATGGGTCACACATAGCCCTGTATATATGCTGTACGTGGCATAGGCTACCTCACATGATAAGATGCAAGAGCAACAGGAAGGTTATCATCAATGTAGGTCAGATCAATAATATGTGTAATGCCATACCTATCCAATAGTGTAGTTAAGGGGAGAGAATGCCATAGCAGTTAAAATACTATAGGTAGAATTAATGCCAATTATTATTGATTGTACAGATGGAGGAATATTGTGTAAATACAGCTGTAAGCATGCAGTGAAAATTGTCTGAAAACTGGCAACATGGTCATCTTTTTGATGAATTTTATTACTACAAATTATGCTGTATTCAGGATGAAGAAACTGACTTTAGGATTCTGAGACTTCTCTTTTACATGGGTGCATGTTAAAAATGAAGTAAAACCTACAGAAACTTGGTCACGATGGGGTAAAGGTAATTTTCTTTATACAAAAAAAAAGCTTTGGTGCTTCTCGATATTTTACCAAACAAATTTTTTACATCATTCAGTTCTGACTCTTAAATTTGACGCAAACAACTTGCATTTTCTTACTGTCAAAGAATCTTGTACAAAGTGTGAAATGAATCGCATGCATGATTGTATGATTTCCTGTATAACTGATGTACCATGTGGAAAATAAAATGTTAAGATGAACCTGATGATTTGTTGTCCTAACCCTCTCTGAAAACCTCGCCACCCTAACATGATAAAACTGATGATGCTGTATAACTTTTAAGCAAAAGTTTTTTGTTTTGATGTTGATTCGGTATGCCTAACCTAGCTGGTGGCACATATTCAGGAGGCGGTGATGCCTCTCCAATCCTCAAGTTTCACAAATTCTCGTTAACTACACCTTTACCTTATGGTGGTGTGAAGTGAATTTTTTTTCTCGTTGTAATAGTAGTAGTGGTACTTACAGTAGAAGTATTGATGGGGGCTGTAAAAAAAAAGAACCCCTTTGTGTAACATTTCAAATGTAATGTAGACCAGGTATTTCTGACTGTCAACATACTTCCTCTTTCAGTGATAACAAAGGGGTCTTTTACGCAACATAGATAAGTGGGCAATCCATATATACAATGTAAGAGATGGATGATATCATCTTTAAAATATGAAACTGGTAGCGAAGTAAAAATATTTGGTGAATTTCACGTGGGTAAACATGTACCTCATTTTCTGGCTAGTAGAACAATATTGTAAAAGAAGTCACCAAAAAGGGTAAAATCACATTCAAAATTCAGTCCATTTCTTCCAGACCCCGGGATCCTGTTTACAAAAGATAAAGATAAATGTATAAATAAACAGAATTTGTTCATCCATAACAAAAAGAGCTGAAGAAAAGTGCAAATGTGGACCAAGCTCTTAAAACAAAAAATTAAGTATTAATTAGCCCAAACTGTATCTATTCTGCATATACAACGTTGAGTGCAAGCAATGAAGAGATCTAAATGAAAGTCACGTCTCCTTTCGTTTTCTCACATAAACCCGTCTTGTCTCGTGGCGCCATCTAGCGATACGAAAGAATAAAAATAAATGCTCCATCATGTCGACGGAAATGCTACTCCTCTATGGACTTTTCTGTCTCATAGTGGCAATCCTGCTGACTGTGCTAGGATTCTTAGTTTATTCCGGACTGTTTGCAGACATAGTAGTTGGTGCAGGACCCCCTCCAGTCGGGAAGCTGTACGTGGCCTATAAATTTGGGAAAGGATCGTACAAAGACGCAGGGTACCTGTTCACCGAGGCAGTCAGCATCGTAGCTGATCTGCGATGTATAGGGGTTTATTATGACGACCCAGATGAGGTAAGCACGGTTGAGTACGAACCTCAGCTGGTTTTGAACTCTTTGAAGGGGAAGGCAGGGGATTAGAACTAACACTGTCACCTGTCTCCATATTCTGAAAGTGAAAATGACGGTGTATTATATTTTAATAGCGCGTACATAAGATCAGCGGTTCCAACTTATTGTAGTATGCATGCAAGTTCAGGCCGTAGCATGTAACATGTGATTGAGTTGTAATGTTACCTAAGTGTGCAGTGTCAGGAAATTAAATACATGAAACCAAGTGAATTTGTGCTCAGAATCTACACCCAAATAAGTGGCAATTGCAAGTAATAATTTTATTACATTAAAATATTTCCACAATAGCCAGCTATGCATGAATATCAGACCTGTAGCTGGCCGGGGGGGGGGGGGGGGGGGGGGGTCGATCAAAATGCCAGGAAAAGTTCCACTCTGGGTTAAATTTGATCTAGGTATATGGAGGTCCCATGGTAAAAGGTCAACATTTTCAACTCCCCCCCACCCCACCCCCCACCCCACCCCACTTTGCAATTGCTGGCCTGAGTTTACTATCATCTTTTTTATGTTAAATTGTATACTTTTATGAAGTTGTGTATTATATATCTCAGGTAGGATTGGGAGAGCAGAGATACGTGGTGGGCAGTATCCTGGCAGAAGGGGACAAGGAGCCAGATCCTGCACAGAAAGAAGAATATCAGAGACGTGGCTATAAGTTCCACACTTTTCCTGCTGTCACGAATGTGGTCAAGACAAAATTTCCATATAATACAGCCATATCTATACTTGTAGCTATAAAAAGGGTGTACCCAGTCTTGGGCCAGTATGTAAAGGTAACTAAAAGAGAGGTGCATTTACAATGTCTTCTGATGGCTTAATTTAGTGTTATATTGTCTCAGAGTCAAAAGACTTGGGTAAAGTTTGTAAACCTATAAGGAGTTAATATAACCCAAATTGATTTATTCAAAACGCAAATCTTTTAATATTAGATCATTTTGACTCGAGTAATCTTGAAGTTGCACCTGCTTTTACTCAATCCATGTACTAGTAGTGATCAAGAATATTTCAGTGAATAAAAACAAAGTTTGTTTATGGCCTTTGGAGAATTAATGATAAACAAAATGAAACTACTACTTGGTGTAAATTTGATAATGATGATGTTTTAACTGGAGAGTTACATGTTGCATTGGCTGCACAATACAGTGGTAGCCCCATATCCTGATATTATTTTTAGATTAAAATTGTGATTTTTCCAGGAAAAAAGGCTGTGTGCCCATCCATTTGTGGAGATATATGACGGCTTCACTATTCACTTCATGGCCCCTCTTGCCAAACAGGATGAATTTTACGTCCCCGAGGCCCACGGCCACACCCATCAAGAGGGCCCTGCCCATCTCAAAGACTCACCAAAACACAAGAAAACCGCCGACCAAAGAGAAGACGAAAGCCAGCCAGTTAAAGTGCGCAGAAGTAAGAGGAGTGGATCACCTTCAAGATCACTCGATAAAACTCCGGAGCTGTCCACCAATGAGGAAGATTCAGGGATCACTTCGGCCAACATCAGTGGCGCCAGCGCAGGTGGAGATTCCGCAGAGGCCGAGCAGAGCTGTAACCTTGACTCCACCGGGGGAACAAGTTATATCTCAGATGTCACCACGTGTACGGAAGACGATTCTGTTGTGTCGGGAACAGTGACTGGGGACTCCTCGGCCGAGAGCACGTCTTCATTTGAAGAAGTCAGCAAAGATGATATTTAAATTTAAAATGGCTGGTGTTTACAATGTTAAGTTAACTGGTCATAATATTTATGTTATATAATATGTGTATGTACTTGTGTGGGTGTCTGGTTAAAACAGTGAAATATTAATGCCATATTCTGGTGTACATGTGTTATGTTTTGTGTAGCTTTATCCTAGATTGTGTTGTAGTCATGAAAACAGGAATTATAAAAGAGGTCACTCTTAAATTGTCATAATTTGAACCAAGTGTGTGTAAACTCCATACCAACATATCCTCTACCAGGGCCACAGATTGATTTTTCACAAGGTATTCACAGATATGTCTCCAGCTAATTCATGGCACATATCTCCACTGTGAGTTGAAGAAACGTGCACATTATTATTCTGTGGCCCTGGTAGACATTACCAATAAGTTGCCAGGGAAGATCTTATCATCAGGTGGAATTACAAGGTATATTATACCTGAGAAAACCAACCTTAAACCTTAAACTTGGACTGCTAAGTTATTGTCACAGTACTTAATTGCTTAATCAGTGATTTAGTAGTTAGAGGCAGATTGAAGTTGCTTTGTTTTTGATTTGAGGGTGGGGTTACTTAATCCTAAAAATCAGGTTATCAAGACTACATACTACTTAGATTTGGTTTAAACAAGCTAAGATCTGCTATTTGACAGCTACTTACTAGTTAGAAAGTCGGCTATCTGTATTCATGTGGTCAGGGGTTTCCCCAGGATTTTAAGTACAGGGAGTCCAAAATGTGAATCTGTAATTTGGTCATTGAATTTCTGGTCCAACCCAAGCTGAAGCAGGCCCAATCAACAAACCCCAAAAATTTCCTAAACTGTCCAGTTGTCCTTGAAAGTATAGGTCATCTTTTGAGGCCAGTGGTCATCCAAATGACGACTGGACAGTGCTCTGGGGAAATCCTTGCCTGTGGTATAAGTTTATTCTCAGGTGAGGCAGACCGTCTCCCCAGCCTGCTGACATTGCCCTGTCAAACAGTTCGATAACTACTGCTGCATTCCTTTCATTTATTTAACATGTCACTGTTTAACATGTCAGCATTGATATCTTGTGTATTAACTAAAATTGAATGAGTCACAGGATCTTAATTGTTTTTTTTTTTCTCATCATGACAGTGATTGTTATAGTGGGTGCTATTGAAAAGGTTCACAATAAATGTTATATCAGTGTGGAGCATTCTGTTTGTTTGTTATTTTGCCTTTTGAAACATTGGGCGCATCTACGTCTGTTTGCTTTAGGCCATACACAATGAGTTTGCATGTCGTAAAGAAGAGGTTATGATTAACGACCTATTAAGTGTCTGGGCAGTTTAACACCCCATTCTCATAGATTAGATCGACCTACATTGGATCGACCTAACTCCCTGGGGGTTCACGCTAAATAGCTGTCAGTCGGGCGGACACGAAAGTTAATTACCCCTTAAAGCTTGTAGTAGGCGGGGACGGACACTTAAGGGGGATTATCTGACAGTAATCTAGTGAGACTCCCCGCGGTGATAGATCGATCTAAAAGTTGTGAGAACAGAGCCTAATATCATTTCTATAATTTCAAACAAAATGTCTAGACAACTTTTGCCCTCACAGAAGTCGCTATGAACTATAATGTAAAAAAAAGAAAAAGAAATTAAAATGAAGCAATTCTTATTTAGTTGTTCTCGACAGTCTATTTTAGGAGATGTTTAATTAAAGGTAGCTAGCAAAAATATTCATATCTCAAAAGTGATGTTCATTTCTTGGTTAATGCATGAAATTCTTCTATCCCTGTCTAACTTTCGGGGTAAAAACTCTACGCATTCAACGTAATCTATTGTTACACTTTCACGTCCATTGCTTTCACTGAGGGTAATTTTATTATGAAAACAATAAGCTAAACCATGGATCAACGCAATTAAGACAACGTTATGTCAGAAGACCCGAGATTCTGGTGTTGTAAGAAATTGCTTAAGCCGCTGTCAGTTCTAAGCGACATTTGCGACTGCAATTTTTTTAATTTTTAACTTTAAAAAGTACCTGTAACAATAATAATCCTATTAGTAATTATCGTAGTTTATAAAAAGCATGCCTTATCTAGAACAGTGTTTTTTATACACGGTATTAAATTGCAAACACTGCTTAGCATCGCAAATGCCAGACAAATATTTCCTCATTGCACTTTACCTGTCTGTCTGGTCTTCTATNTATTTCTTTTTAAAGGGTGTGTATCTTAATCAGGGATTTGTCTGCGTAATAATAAACTCCCTACTTTTGGTTCGTCGGTGCTTGCCTGGCGTAAAGTCAGTAGCAGGTGCCCGTCACATTATATAACGTTAACGTTACAGTTCCCACATTTGGAGATATTTCGTTTGCGTTATTATCCATCATATGTTATACCCCACTTGTGACATTCACTGCCCTTACATGCTGAAATATTGTTACAGTGATGTTATATTGTGAGGTAGGTGATCCCAGCTTAGGGCTCCTATTTCAACAACTTTTGATGAGCTGGTGTTTACATTAGTTCTGTCCTCTCTGGGACTTGTTTACTAATCTCCTTCAGTGTGTCTGAACTTCAGATCATGTAGAGTGTGCCAGCAAATTAACCCAGAATTATACAGTGGCATTTTGGGATTTTATACAAGACAGCATAGTCATGTAAGCTTACCCTTCAGTACAGAACAGGAGTCCTGGCCTCTCTGAAAGTCTGAAATATTTTCTCCAAGAAAAAATGTATAATTTACCTGTTGTATTATATATCCCAACAGGTGAAAAATGCTTGATATATTTAAATGTGGTAGTAGGTTAATTTTTCTATAGACTGAGAAGTTTTAGAAAATTCTAAACATCTGTACATATGAAATATACCTGTAACCAGTAGTATAGAATTTACAAGTGTTGTCCACATTGGGGGAAAAGTGGGCAGATGAAAGAACAAATTATAGTATAGGTTAAATAAACCACAGATATTTTTCTAGTTGTTTTTTATAAATATCTCCCAAATTCCATCATAACTTAGTTTTGTGTGATATCATGCACTTCCATCAACCTCTTTTAGGCATTATCTTAGATGATACATGTACTGGTTTGAAACCAGTACACAAATACATCTCAACTCTTCATGACATTAAGGCAGTAGCTATCTAATTAGTATACTGTTATGTATTGATAATGTTACAAAGCCTAGTTGTAAAATTTCACTTAAGTATTTTCTCATTTAGATTGAATCAGTTCATTTCTTATTAATGCAATTTATCACAAGATGACATTGGTTCTAGTTGTGAAGGAATTAGTGTGAATCTGTGTATACTTCAGTAGGTGGGAGAATACTTTGTAGGGGGTGGAGGGGCATTCCCATATTCCTTCAGATGCTGAAATGGGCATGTTAGTATTCTTTTTGTGTCACAATATTTATTTATGTCAGGAAGTGCAGTTGATTGGGTTAAAATAATGTCATTATGTTTTCATGTTATCTTTGAGTGCTTTTTAGGAAAAAAAAAGAAGGATGTTTTAATGTGTTTCTATCACAGACTGATCCAATTTTTGCTTGTGCATAATGCTGTTTGTTCTTATTGCAGAAGATGAAGAATCAAGCAAGGCACCTAAGAAGGGTGCAACAAAGGCACAGCCAGCAAAGGCGGTATGTAAAAATTAAGCAATTGACAGTTGTAACATATATACAGCAATATCTGATTTTTTAAAGTCTTGGTGTATCTCTTTGTTAATATTTTTATCAATAAAAATATCAAAATGGTCCTTTGTTTGGTTAAAAAATGTATTAATACATTTTTACTTATATTCATCTTATGATGAAAAGAAAGCTCAGATATCATTTTAAAAAGTCAGGAGGTGTTTTCACAGTTTTTTGTGTGTAAACAATACTAAATGGGAAGATATATAAATGTTGGCAAATAGTTCAAATATATCAACAGAGCAAACTGAAGTTGTGTTTGGCGTTAAGATGTTGATTCTAAGTCATTAAAATCATATTAAAAATTAAGTTGCTTTGTACAGAGCCCATCTGTAAGCCAATCAAAAAACCATTCCAAAGCTTTTAAGTTCCAAGAAATCAATCAGACTATGTCCAAATGACTGTGCACTAATGAAGTGTATAGATTAATCTTCTCTAAGACCTTCATTGGCTGCTATTCAGTGAAAATACATGGATTTTCTTTAACTTTTGCGAATTCTATGGAAAATGTTTGGTTTGTGAAAGTACACTCTTTTCATCTATGCTTTAGGTTACTGGGACCAAAAAGAGTGTTGTCATGTCCAGTGAAGCACTCAAAGAGATGCAGAAAAAGGCAAAAATCAATAAGGATGAAAGAAGATTGCAGGTAAGTCTTGTGTAAACTTCCAGTGAAGCTTGCTGGTAGGGCCATGACACTGTAAATGCAGTGGAAAAAAAACCTTAAAGAGTACCCATATTTTCAAGTCATTTAAGAGCAGAAATAACTGTAAATGATTAGATGTATTTTGAAATGAAAATCTGATAAGAAAAATGTCTATAAATCAGTAATCTAAAAGAAAAGTTGATTTGCATATTTTATGAAATCTAAGTTTCATTTACATATAGAGAAGGAGAATAACATGAAAAGTGTTTGTGAGGCAGATTAAAATTCCAGTCAAAACACACACCTGTAACTTTAACATAAAACACAGTAAACAATGTGTTCTTACAAAACCATTACCGCATGCACAGAACACGACCTGTTTAATGTATACCAGTATTGTGTGCCCCATAGAACTTGCAGCAAAGTCGAAAATAAAAGGGACATGAAAAGCTTTTTATGCTCTGTTGACAAACCATACAATCATATTGTTATGAATATAGCTTGTCAATATTTCTAAACACTTGTATTTAAACAATGATTTAAAGGATTTTTTCACCAAAATGTATTAGACCATGAGTTCTTTAAACCTTGCTTTTTAGACAGACTGTTATAGAACTTTTCCTTTAACACAGAGCTAATAAAAATGGAACAGTAGCTGTTTCTACCTGAGGGAAAATGAGGGTTAATTCGTATCAACTTCAAAGCGCAGTAAAGGTTTCCTGTGCAGACACACTTATTTCCTCGTAGGTGCTTTCAGCTCTACTCCATTTAGACTGAGAGAGCTTTTATAAATGCAATAAGTTTCTCGATGTCCCACCCAGCTGTTTACATTTCTCCTTAATCTTTTGTACAGAAGCATTATAAAGATAAACTATGTCCCAATAAATAAGTACTAGTCAAAAGAGCTGGAAGATTTATGACTGTGTCAACATGTTGATCCAGAATGTACATTGAACTGATAGTAGAATAAAGTAGATTCGTCATGGAGAAGTTTTGTACCTGGTTGCAGAATGTTTATTCTTAAAAAAAAAAACACTTTCCAGTGCATTTCAGTTATATTTGGGTATGGATATATAGGTTGAAGCAATGTATATATATTGAAATTGTTGTTCTTAATAATTATTTTAAACTATTTGTCAGTACATAGTTGCAAGTGTGTGATGGCATTTGATGGAACACAGTAATTCCCTAGATTATTGATTTTCTTATTAGAGAATACAAAGGTTTCTCAGTAACAGAACTATTGACTGGGGGTTATTATGGTATTAATCTGAGGGAGATGTCATTACGAGTTGCTATGGACTAAAGGCATCAATATTTATATATTTATTTTTTTATTTCCAGATGGATGCAAGATATCAGTACCTGATCCAGAGGGTATAAAACTTTTCTATGAAATCCTATTTCATAAGTCAACAGTACTTTGCCATTCAATTTAAGTCTAGTTAACCTGATGTTGAAAATTTTGTCAAATGTTTATCAATTTGATAAAAATGAGAGTTTGTAATGTTCTAAATTATAGTGTAAGCTGTCTTTGCAAAGTATTTTAAGCCTTTATGCATCTTGTAGCCAAATTTTTCTTTTTCTTGTAGCTGTCAGATGCAATGGGGGCTTCTGTAACAGAAGTGGAAGACTTTATTTTAAGTGATGACAAGGTAAAGTGACTTTAAAAAAAATTGAATTGCTTTTTGTTAAACCATCTTGAAATTAAGTGTAAATTAACTTTTCAAAGTACTGACATGTTTAACAGCATTTTCATCATTTTTGTCCCACTGCCAGTTACTATAGGTGCATACATTATTTTGCAGTTTGGAATGATAGAAAATTTCTTTGATCCCAATGGCCCAAGAAAACTGATGTTCTTCCATCAAGAAGCGGTGAGTACATATATGTCTCTAAGTATGCTGTATAATCTCATTTGATATTACTGCATCAGTTCACTTCCCTCAATATTCTTTATTATTTAGAATAACAACAGTTATAAATTTCAAACAGAAGTTGGGGATTGTATTTTGACAAAGAGATCACACATTTAACATTTCAGAAAAATTGTTCACTTTGTGGAAAATTGTGTGTTCTGTACCTAACATATATTTCTATTACAGGTCCGTGATAATGTCTACTCCAGAACTGATGCTTCCAGTGTACATAACCCTAACCCTGTAAAAAAACTATTTATCACAACTGGAGAGACAGAGGTAAGTTTTTGTGAAATTTCTGTCTTTGATGACCAATGAAAAAATTTTAACCTCTGATAGCACAAGAAATCTTTTTTATATAACTGGACAATACTTTATTTTCCACAGAAATTGCTTTTGTGAATGAATTATTTTTGACTGGATCCCTTGTCCTATAAAGATAACAAGGAACTGTATTTAATGTATTTTCAGAGTCTTCAAGGCACTTGCTACTTCTTCCTAAAGTTGACAGTGGGAGGCAAAGGGATCACTGTACAGAATGTGGCCTCTGAGGTGTTCTTTGGATTCATGGATGGCTCCAAGGGAGTCCTCAGTGGCTTTGAAGGAATTATGGCCAAAGTGTTGGTCCCAGCTATAAAATCATTGGATGTAAGTTCACTAGTTTTATTTTTTACACTAAGTGTACATGAAGGGATTGCCTTGCACTGCAAGGGCATATATTTATCACACTGAACCATTGTTTGTAAAAATTTTGAAAATCTGTATGTTACTTTAGATGATTGTGATATTTGTTTTAAAGCCCTTTTTTGAAATGTATTATATTTGAGGCTTGCATTGTAAGAAAAATATTTTGCCTTGCAGAGCTGGGGTTCCTTGAATGACAGCAGCAATGCCCAGGTGGCAGAATTCCTGGAACTCCTGGAAAAGTTTGTGAACAGCCTGTCTGGTGCCCGGGAAAGTATGGATGGCCAGGTTCATCTCTCAGAGGAGGGAGTTGGATATCAACTAGATGAAATGAAGACAGCAGCAGACTTCCAGGCAGCAGGTAACTACATATAGTACTTGAAGTTTTTGCCTTGTAGAGTCATGATACATGATTACTATTAACACTGTATTGAAAAACATAATAGAATCATTATTGCTTTACAACATAGAGTTAATTTTCAAATTAACAATACTTTAGGAATAAGTGTGTGAATAGCCGAGTTTGACATTGAAAAGGATCAGCAGTTGTAGATTACTATTTGAACATGTATGCTAATTGATATGAGGGCAAGTTAATTTTCCTTGGGCAGGAGTATTGTATGAAAAGAATATGAATTGAATTATTATCTTTTTATAATTTGGTATATGTACCTCTGATATTTTATAAAGAATACGCCTGAAATTTTCTTAATTTTTTTCAAGCTAACAATGCTGATGCTGTTGAGAAGCTGGAGGAGCTGTTGATGAACTGGGCTAAGCAGATTGACCAAGTTCTCACAGAGAGTGAGCAGATGAGACGTGAGGCAGACGACATTGGTCCTACCGCTGAGTTGGCTTACTGGAAAAGTAGGACAGCCAAGTTTAACAAGTACGTCTTAATTTTTTTTTGATATGGGATCAAAATGCTTGAAAAAGTTTTGTGATAATTTTGTTTTATAGATTATGTTCAATTTTCATTGTTTGCTATTATTTTATTGGAATCATTGGAAGTTTTTGAAAGATTATTTTGCATTTCTGTTTTTATTATACAATTTTCCTTTATTTTTCAGCCTACTGGAAGAAATCAAGAGCCCCAAGTGTAAAGCAGTGGTTGGAGTCCTTAACTGTGCCAAGTCCAAGGCTTTGAAGCACTGGCGTGAACTTGACTCTCGCATCACAGATGCTGCCAATGAAGCGAAGGACAATGTCAAGTACCTGTACACACTGGACAAGTTCTTTGGACCACTTATAAAATGCAGTCCGGTAAGAAGTGTTTTCACGATCTACAGAAACCAGGTTAATATTGCTTGAGGCCCGAAACAATGCTTTGAAAATGTTGAACCTCGAGTCATGGTAATGACATTTCAAACCTTTTCATTCATTGAAGTTTGCTCTAGATGTGGAGTTTCTCAAAGAGAAAATCAATAATGCCCACTCACTGTTTTCTAAGAATAAATATTTGAAGTGTTGTCTTGAAAGACTTGAGTACGTTCTTTTATGGAGTTAGCCCATTGCTTGATACTTGTGCTAGGTAACATTTGTTTGATAGTGGCATTGTCATTTATCTGATAGCTACTGTCAAAAAAAAATTTGTAAAGTGGGACGTGTTTGTATATCTTACATTAAATACTTGCCCCAATTTTAGCAAAGAACACCACATTTAACAACGAAAACAATAAAGAATTACCTCTTTATTATTCTCTTGTTTTTTTCTAGTCTGCAATGTGTGAGCTGGTGCCCAGTCTGATGAATGCTATCAGGATGATCTACAGCATTTCTGGCTACTATAACAGCTCCGAGAGGATGACCTCGCTGTTTGTGAAGGTCACCAATCAGATGATCACCACCTGCAAGGGATACATCATGAGGGGAAGCTCCAAAGTCTGGGACATCCCCAGGTAAATAGAACTGTGGGATACAGACATGGCAAAACAATTGGTTTGTCGGTCGCAGATGGAATATAATCAAGGTCAAGTCAGTCCAGTTTTAAGGTTCAGACTGGCAGCTGTTTACTTGGAACTGATTGATTGTCTGTCTGAATGATTGGCAAGTCCATTATAGTTTGGGAACTTGCATAGTAAACTTTGATAATAAGTATAAATTATACTCATATATGAAGACCAGTGCTTTTCTTTCTTTTTTTTGAAGTAGTAACCTGGGTTCCTGGGTTTGATTTCGACATCAGTAGACAAGCACATATTTTATAAAAGCTGAATGATATTAAAGGAAGAAGGATTCATAATTTAAGTGTTTATTAGTGTTGCTACATATTGTTCAGATTTTGATATATATGAAAAATGTCTAATGTTTGGTTGTTTTTTTTGTAGGCCAGAGTTACTTCAGTACCTCCAGGAATGTATCCATCTAAATGAAGCCTACCAGAGACACTTCCAGAAGACCAAAGAGAAGCTGAGAGAAAACCCTCATGAAAGGCAGTTTGAGTTCAGGTATTTATGGCTTTTTTAATACAGTATGGCCTCTACGAAATGCAGATTTATGCAGTAATCGATTATGTAAGAAATTGTAATTTATAGCAGAAATCTGTATTTTATGCAGTTGATATTAATTTTTTTGAAAACTTCATTTAATGTTTTACAGTGCCTTATGTACTTTCTTTTTTCCATGTGTTTCAGTCAAATTTACCCCTTTGTAAAGACTGATAATTGATCATTACAATTGTTTTATTACAGTGAGAACTACATCTTTGGCAAGTTTGACACTTTCTGCAAGCGTCTGGAGAAGATTGGTGACATGGTCAACACTATGGAGAACTTTGCTGGCCTTGGAGACATCAGAATTGAAGGCATCGAGACCCTGGCAGTGCGTTACAAGACCATTGTAGACTCTGCCAAAAAGAAGAGTTATGATATTCTTGATCACAGGAAGGGAGACGTGAGTTTCCATTGTATTTTAGTAACAGAATGAAGCATTTAACAACTAGAAATAATGCACCATTATATTTCATATCAAACATCCTTTTGACATAATGAACAGGGCTTAATGTACAGAAATTTTGCATTATTTAATTGACTTTATGTTGAATTAATAGAAAAAAAAAGAAGTATATTATTAACTTTCTTCTTCAGTTCGATGCAGACTACTTGGAATTCAAAAACCAGATAGATGGGCTTCAGAATCAGCTGCAAAACTTCATGGACTCTTGGTTTGAAAGAAACTTGACTGTAAGTACCTTCATTTGGTGCAGACATTAAAACTGTTTGATTCATTATTACATTCAGTTTGGAATGTGATAAACTGGTGATATCTGATTTTATACTGGCTACACATTTTAGCTGTGAAAAGCTCTCAATTAATGAATCATGCTCGTCTTTTTCAGACTGACAAGGCTCTTGTCCTGCTGGGTAAATTTGAAAGGATAAAGGGTGCCAATCTTGACATGAATGAGAAGTACATGAAAGTGCTGATGAACTATGGCCGCGACTTGGAGAATGTGCGCAAGACCTACCAGAAGTTCAAGAACGAGCCCCCAGTGCCGCGCAACTTGCCACCAGTATCAGGGAAGATTGCCTGGGCCAGGCAGCTGTATCGTAAGATAGAGTACCCCATGAAGGTCTTCAAGAAAAGACCAGAAATTTTGAGGGTATGGATACAAATTCTGTCATGGTTATTTTGGCATTTATTTTGTCTCTTTATATTGGCAGCTGGTATACTTAATTTAATGAAGTTTTTTTGACATAAGATATTTATGCTAGTACATCTTTCAAAAACTTACAATGATTTAGAGTTTTGTTAATTCAGAATATTTTGTTATGTGTGTGACTAATTTTTTTTTCTTTTTAGAATAATGAAGCAAAGAAAGTGATCAGAAACTACAACAAAATGGCCGCAGTGTTGATGGAGTTTGAGGTATGAAAATAATATCAAAAATTATGAAAACTATATATTACAGTAGCACTCATTAATTAGAGACTGTGAAATTGGAAGACCTTTCTTTTCAAAGTTAAAGTGAAACAGAATTCATCTAGTGGTTTAAAACTCAGAACTTATCCTGTATTCTTCAGATGTTGTACCATCGTAGCTGGTATCGTGCCGTGGATGCAGCCAAGGCAGGCCTGGGCGCCTCCCTCCTGGTACGCCATCCAGAGACCAAGGAGCTGTATGTAAACTTTGACCCCCAGATCTGTGAGCTGGTTCAGGAAGCCAAGTACCTCCAGAGGTTGAACCTAGAGATACCCGAGTCTGCCCTCAGACTGTGCATGAACATTGACAGGATCAACTCCAATCGTATTGCGTAAGTTATGATTGAATGCATTTTTTTTTTTTGACTTTAAGCTTTACATGATTTAGTATTTGGTTTTATATAATTATTATTGTTAACATGAGTATCATTGTTCGGGTTTAGAATTTCATCAGTCTACTTCATTCAGAACTTGACTTTCCTAATTGCTCTTTGTTTTTTTCCCTAAGAAGATATTGACTTTTCTTTCAGTTTGGAGGAAATGCTGCAGGAGTATGATGGTATAGTGGCTCGCATTCCACACATCTTGCTTCCCCTGATGCAGCCATTCAGAGACCAGGTGGGAGAGGCTCTGCTGCCCGGCCTCATGGCTCTCACATGGAACTCACTCAATTTGGAAGCCTGTAAGTATTTAGCCATTAGTGAATGGGTTTAAATGAAAACAATTTTGACTGGTGACATTAATTGTGTGAAAGTGGCAATTTTGATAAAAATTGTAGAAATATACATGGTTACAGCTGAAGCCCAGAAGACTATTTTTGTCTTACATCCATATAAACTTGTCTGTGCTTTTTTTCTTACCAAGTATTACAATGATTTGAATATTGTAATTAGTATACCAAATTTCACAAATATATCCTTTTTGATGTCTTCTAGACCTGTCCAATGCCTACCGCTCCATGAGTGACCTGGAGAAGCTGGTGAAGCAGGTGTCTGATATCTTGGAGTGCCGTATTGAGGCTGTCCTGGCAGAGATGGGGTCAATCGCACTGTGTGACCTGCCTGAGGACGAACCCATTACTGTGGATGAATTCCTCAAACTGACTGGAGAGACTTGTGCTCAGGCTTCTGATACACTCATAAAGTAAATAGATTGATCTAAATGTTGTTTCCTTTTTTGTAAATTTGTAAATTTTAGTACAGAAATGGACATAATCTGAATGATTATTTTAAAAAACTCAGCTGATAATTACAGCAAGATATAATGAGGCATGACAATGGCTCAAGCTTATTCCTTTCAACGTTTCCATTAAATGGATGTAAAAAAATCATAGTTTGGGACATATTTTTCTGTTTTACCTTTGCACATGATTACTTCTACAAATTCCAGGCAAAGTCAGCTTGTGGAATCATCAGTGAATGACCTGGTGGAGACCCTGAAGATGAATCTTGCCCCCAAGGACAGAGTTAACCTGTCCCCAGAGGAGAGCTATGCCTGCTCCTCTCCTGACCCCAAACACAAGAAGCAGCGCTGCCTGGAATGCCAGCCTTGTTCTTACTACCAATTGCTCAACAATTTCACACAGAAGAACACTGATGCACTGATCAAGTGTGAGTTAAATGGATTGATAATAACTCTATGTTTTGGTTAAGATTACTTTGGTAAAAGTGATGCTCTGAACAGTGTTTCAAATATTGTGTATGTTTAATTCAAAATAGATCAGAAGATAAGTATATATTCAATGGATTAATGCTTTATAGAATCTTTGATAATGGGAAAAAGTTAAGAGTCACTTAAACAGACCTGTTTGATTAAACCAAGACTTAAAAACTGACCAACTACATGCACCCCTTAACATGGTATTTCATTATACTTCTCTCATTTTCAGGCACTCGCTTAAGTCTTGATGCCATCAAGAAACGCCTGCAGATGAGCAACAAGTACAAGTCCAGTGAAGACAGCAAGGAGGAGGAGCGCCCCCCACTGTTCAAGGCAGACATCATTCTGGCCATCCCCAACGTGATGGTCCGCCCCACCATGGAGGACATGCAGACCAAGCTGAACAAGGCAGTGACCACCATTTTGGATATGTCCAAGGTGATCCCACAGTGGGAGCACATGAAGCTGCATCAGAGACTTCAGCTGAAGGTGAGAGTGACTGAGATATTGATGTGTAGGACTACCTGTTACATTGTATGGTTTTGATATATATTCACTGCTGCTGTTAATGGATATGTTTTAATGTTTTCTGTATCAGGCTTCTTGATGACTTGTTTTATAAAAACTTTTTCACCTTTCCTTTATATTCTAGATTTTTCTGAACTTTATAAGGAAGTTTGATGTAGTACTTTCACTTCATTCAACATACTCACCAATAAGAAATATATTATTTTCATTTTGTTTTCCTTGAACTGCTAATGCAATTTAAACTACTCCATTTTCCGGTATATGATTATTTCCAATAAATGTTGTTTATTTTTTTTTTGTTCTTGCAAATCCATAAGCCATATTATTGAAAATATTGCATTAGCAGTGATAAGTAATGCGCAGCTTGTATGCAATCCTTGAAAATTTAAGAAATTTTCGTCTGCTTTGCACTTTACTTGAGATGTATTTTCCTTTTGTTGTGAGCATTTGAATGGATTTAGAAATCATTAAGAATGTTTTTAAGTATAACAATGAATATTCTTATCAAGATTTGTCTCAAAGACACAATTAAAAATTTGAAGTGAAATATTTCAGTTAGAAATGTGCAATTCAAATGTTGGGTGATGTAACTACACTCAGTATTTTGAAGCATTCACTCTGGAGGTATTAAACTTTATAACGTTCCATGTAAATAGTATTTTTATTCCCATGCAGCCAAAAATTCGCAAGGTTTGTCCAATCCCCTCTTTAATATTCTTATCCCAGTGGAAAGAAACTACTGTCTGTAACAAGAAACTATATGCCCTTTACCTATTCTACCTGTGCCCTGTACTTAAATTTCTCTTGTCTTACCTGCAATCTTACCTGTATGTGCACAGGTCATAATTGTGCCTTATTTTTGGCTGCCCTATAATTAGTGTTCTATAATTCCATAATTTTTTAAAAAACACTGCCATATGTCAGCTTTGTACACCTGCCTATGAACAGTTATTTTACAGATGTTGTGCACTGTTTTACTAGTTTTACTATTGTTTTGACCCCCTCCCCCCCTCCCCCCCAAACAATACCACCCACTGCTGACATGTTTCAGTAAATGTGTTTTATACACCTGAATTATATGTCAACATGTACACTGTAACCACACAGTAGCAGTTCCCTCCAATACCACTCATTTTATTTGTTTTGCCTTGCAGGCCATAATGGTACAAAACGTAAGAATCCAGGATCTCCATGTTGTGTCAGCTCTGCTCTGCCTTCAGATCTTTATTGATATCATGATCTTCACTGAAATGTTGTCTGTTCCTAAGATAACCTTCCTTGCATGTACTAACAATATCCCTGCATTGTTGCTATTGTGATTGATATTTGCAGACTGTCCTAATTGCCATACGTGCATTACTTGTTGTATGGAAATGTTCTCCTTTTACTTAAAATGGAGGTGTTCTTGTTACTTTCTAAGTGGAGGCGGGTGACATTTCAGTTCTCATTTTGGTGTGTTGCTTGCATGCCTGTTAACTGTTAGGGTCTGGGTTTATAACACTGGGACATACACTGTCCCAATGAGCTTGTCAAACTATATGTTCTTGTATATATATAAAACAAGTCACTTTGATCACAGGGCAGAAATATGAAGATATTATTTACTTTGTTTTGCGTAATTGTTAATAAATGTAGAGATAGAGAGTGTTGATTTTGATTAGCGCTTTTAGAACTCACAGTTGTTTTGTAGTTGAAGTAGCCTCATACCTTATATTGCATTTTATTAAAATTAATATATGCTATTATTCCACACTGCTTCATTTCTAGGAACTTGAAGCTGCAGTCTCAGATAAGGATGACAGTGATACCAAGGTGATTCCCCAGGCTGCAATGAAGCCACTCCATAAGTTGATCAGTGACCACAAGGATGTGGCCAAGATTGTTGTTCAGTTGCATAATATTGTCAGCACCTTCAAGACTGAGGTGCAAGAAGTGCTCAACAGCTTCACTAAATACTCTGAACTCTGGGCTACAGTAAGTTTTACTTATTTTATAATGATGGAAAAAATTTAGTCACAGATATGCCTTTCTATAATTTGAATTATAATATTTTATTAGTTTATTTAGCTCAATTTGATTTAATATGGTTTGCTGTGGTGATCCAGTATTTCATTTATAGTGATTGTAAGTGATTTGAACAAGGGCAACTAAGTGTGTTTGTTTGTTTGTTTGTTTGTTCAAGTGCATTCTGTAACTTAAACTTTCAGGACCCTGAAGAAAAAGTCAAGGAGTTTGTGGCCAGTGACCCAGTTATGTCAGAATTTGAACAGCAGGTCAAATACTATGAGGTAAGGCAATGCTTTTGATAACTGAAATTTAATGCCATGTATATAGTCAAAGAATCAGAAACGTTTTATTTATTAAACAAGAACACATTTACTCAGTGAAGAATTTCGTCAGCGTTATAAGTCACTTGATGTTAGAAAATTTGAGAACAATATTTCTAACCTTTGCTGTTGATTCAGAAAGTCATAAAAGTAACTGAACACATGTTGTAAAGTACAATTTTCAAAGAGAAATATCATACTAATTCACCTACAGCACCTGGAAATTGAGATTGAAGAAATCCAAGGCACTTACCGTGTTGGAGCTGTGATCTTCCTGACAGATCCCATCAAGCTGGCCTTGAAGTCGGAGACCAGTGCCTGGAAAGTGGCCTACGGCAAGAACCTCAACGTGAAGTGCGCTGGACAGATGGACGAGATCTTGGACTTCTTCGACAGAACCATGAAGGTTCTTCAGCGTCCATGCAAAGACCTGGATGACATCCGTGCCCACATGGCTGCCTTGACAGAGATGAGAGAGAACGAGATTCGTATTGATATGACTATCCTGCCCATTGAAGAGGCCTATGCCATGTTGAGCAGATACAACCTGTTCTTCAATGATGGCAATGCTGAGAGAGTTGATACTTTGTCTTATGGCTGGAAGAAGTTGAAGACGCAGGTATTGTAAAAATTTTGTTGAAGTTTGTGGTGTTGAAAAAAGGACTTAAGTGATTGGTAATTCAAAATGAATATATGTATATGTATAGATAATTTTCTGGTTCATACATTTTAAAAACAATATAATACTCTTATGTATTTGGATATTATCTTATAAAACATAAGCATAGGTGCAAGTGACCATGTAAATATTGAACATTTAAGGCTCTGGAGGTCCAGAACCATCTGCTGAAGATTCAACCAGAATACAAGGAGGATCTTCTTCACCGTGTTGAGGTCTTTATGCAGGATGTCAATACTTTCTATGCAGACTATGACACAAAGTAAGTTGGTGAAACCATTTTTATTCAGTATTATACTCTTTAATTCCATATCTTGAAACAGATAAATTCATAAGAATTTGAACAGTTTTTGTTTAACTTAGTTGTTGGCACGGGCTGTTTCATATGTCATGTTGTTTTGGGTTGTACACAACTCCATACTCCTTTCTTTAAAAAACAACAGCTAAGACACTATTTATAACAAAATTAACACTATCCATTTCAGAGGTCCAATGGTTCAAGGTATTGCACCAAGAGAAGCCTCAGACCGTCTGAACATCTACCAGGCCACATTTGATGAGCTGTGGCGCAAGTATCAGACCTATTCAGGTGGTGAGGAGCTGTTTGGCCTCTCTGTCACAGATTACCCTGATCTTCAGAGGATCCGTAAAGAGCTGAATCTCCTGCAGAAGCTGTACTCTTTGTACAACCTGGTACTGGAGCGCGTCAATGGATACTATGATATTGCCTGGGTGGAGATTGATATTGAAAAGATCAACAATGAGCTGCTTGATTTCCAGAACAAGTAAGTAAAGAATAGCATTTATATGAATAGAATAGAATTTATATATACATACTGTAAATATACCTGATTCGTTGATTCAATCTTTTGAGCGGACATTGCTAACTTTTATTTGTAATTGGTATATTAGTATTTTAAATAATGAAATTTTTTTCCTGTTAAACAATACTTCTTCAATCACTTATCCTGAAGTCATTATTTCTAATTCCAGATTCTCATCATAATTAAGGTTATATAATTAAAAAACTTAATCTTTATTTTATTGTATTTTAGATGCCGTAAGCTTCCAAAAGCACTGAAGGAATGGCAGGCATTTGAAGACCTGAGAAAGACCATTGATGACTTCAATGAGACATGTCCCCTGTTAGAGATGATGTCTAATAAAGCCATGATGAGTCGCCACTGGGATCGTATTGCCTCAGTGACAGGACACACCTTGGATGTTGATGCTGATAACTTCTTGTTGCGGAACTTGATGGAAGCTCCATTGCTGGCTAATAAAGAAGACATTGAGGTGAGTTGAAAAGAATAGAAAGAATAAAAGATTGTTTTATATAATTTTTTGAGGTAAGCTAGCTTCCAGTATTTGCCTAGTAAACTATTTTTGTTTCATATAGAAATCATTGGTACCTATGTAGTGTTCCTATTTTAGAGACAGAATTTTCAAGGTTCCTTTGATGCTTGTATCTAAAAGAGTTTATTTCTTTACAGGGAGAATGTTTAATGGAAAGAAGTTTGAAATTGAAATGCTTGTGTATGAGATAACAATTAGCATGCATTGAATTAAGATAATTTCACATGTTAACTTATTCTTGTAGGATATTTGTATCTCTGCTGTGAAAGAGAAGGACATTGAAGCCAAACTGAAGCAGGTGGTCAATGACTGGAGTGGACAGAACTTCCAGTTTGCTAATTTCAAGGCCAGGGGAGAACTTCTCTTGAAAGGTATCATACAGTTCTTCCACACACTTTTCTTTATTAGTTTTTCAAACAATCTTGTGAACATTTTATTTTTTCTTCATTTTGTTTTGTTGGTTTCTTTGGGACTGTGAGATATTATCAGATATTATATTTTTTAATTGTATTATTTTGCACAAGTTATTTCTTTTGTCCAAGATTGTGTTTTCAAATGTCCTTTTATGCTTCCAGGTGATGTTGTTAGTGAGTTGGTCAGCTTAATGGAAGACAGCTTGATGGTCTTAGGTTCTCTGATGAGCAACAGGTGAGAAAAGAGGGAAAACAATCCTGTTATATGAAAATGTGTAAGATAGAGGTTATTCAGAATAGTAATCCAACATATTATTGAGGCAATATGCTAAATAAATGACAGATGGATACTTCTCTGCAAATCGTATTATGAACAATTGTAGTAGTCTTAATTAGCAAACAAAATGGTGCATTTGAAGATTTGATTGAATTTCATAAAAATTGTAATGAAATTCTGTATGACAATAAATCTCTAACTTTAATATTTAATTCAGATACAATGCCCCCTTCAAGCCAAAGATTCAAGAATGGGTTCAGAAGCTGACGGGCACCACAGAGATCATTGAGAACTGGATGGTGGTGCAGAACTTGTGGATCTACCTGGAGGCTGTGTTCGTGGGTGGTGACATCGCCAAACAGCTGCCACAGGAGGCCAAGAGATTCGGCACCATTGATAAGTCCTGGGTGAAGATTATGCAGAAGGCCCATGAGACCACCAATGTTGTACAGTGCTGTATGGGGGATGATACCCTGGGGCAGCTGCTGCCTCATCTGCTGGAGCAACTGGAGATCTGTCAGAAATCTCTGACTGGGTACCTGGAGAAGAAACGTCTGGTCTTCTCAAGGTTTTTCTTCGTCTCAGATCCTGCCTTGCTGGAAATTCTTGGTCAGGCCAGTGATTCACATACTATTCAGGTAAGGGAATTTATTATTTTTATTTTAAAATTTTATTTAAGCATGACCCTCTTTGATTATCAAATTTTGATGAGACAGACTTTGATCAATAGATCAGAAATTAATTATGTAGCAGTTGTGCCATATGATTTTAATTAAGTGATTATTCCCTTGACGGTAATCTTGTATGTTTCATTTTAGGCTCACTTGTTGAGTGTGTTTGATAACACCAAGAGTGTTGTATTTGATGAGAAACAGTATGACAAAATCATCAGCTTGGTGTCCATGGAGGGAGAAACTATCAACCTGGAGGAACCAGTTATGGCTCAGGTAAAAAGATTAGAATTAAAAAATGTTCATGAATGAACAAAATATCTTAAAACCAAGATGATATTACATTTTTGAAAAGATCAATTAAGAATAATCAGTGTAACAAAGAAAACAAACAAACAAAAAGCTTTGTAGAATTTTAGTTGAAAATATAGTTGTTTGAAAATTTTGTGTCAAGTTCAATTATGATGCATGCATTTTGTGGGGAAAAACAAAGATAAAATTGGCAACTTAAATTTACTTCTGTTTCAGGGCAATGTTGAAGTGTGGCTTGGAGATCTGTTGAGGAATGGACGCAAATCTCTGCACAGCATCATCCGCTCAGCTTCAATCTCCATCCAAGATCCTTCCTTCAACTTGCTGGAGTTTGAAAACATGTTTGCTGCGCAGGTTTGTAATTTTGGTTATTTGAAAATGGTTGTCCATCGGTTCTCTTTTTTCTTTAAGACAAAAATATCATATTTCATGGAATATTGGTGTTGACTTAAATTGATTAGCAGATAGTAAATAGATTGTTAAGTTACAGGTGATCTTATAGACACACAACTCCTTTGTCTTCTTTATTCTTTGAAATATTTGTATTCACAACAATTTGAGTTTGGTATTTAAAAAGTATATAAATGAGTTGGGTTGCCAAAGATTTTGTAAAAGTGTTCTCTATATCGCTATGGTTTTACTCCATATTTGTTGGTCCACAGGTTGGTCTGCTGGGTATCCAAATGTTGTGGACAGCTGATGCAGAAACTGCTCTGAGCAATGCTAAATCTGACAAGAAGATTATGCAGGCCACTAACCAGAAGTTCTTGGACATCCTGAACATATTGATTGAGATGACCACCACTGACTTGACCAAGGTGGACAGGACCAAATACGAGACCTTGATTACCATCCATGTACATCAGAGAGATATCTTTGATGATTTGGTAAGTTAGAAATTCACTGAAATCTCGGTTTATAATGGAATGAAGCAATAAGGATGATCCCCTCATTTAAGACTTCTGGTAATATTTGTTAACCCCATGGTAAAATATTGCTCTGCAGCTTGTAGATATCATTGAAATTGGGATATCACACAAAAATGACCGTGCATATGAAGATTCCTAACACATTTCTGAAAAATCATGTTCACGTAGTACTGTCAATATTTAAAAGCATAAAAATATGTTTATAAAGTTTATAAGCTTGTTTTTGGTTCTGCAGGTCAGAATGCACATCCGTTCAGTGGGTGACTTTGAGTGGCTGAAGCAGTCCAGGTTTTACTTCAAAGAGGACACTGACCAGTGCATCATCTCCATCACAGATGTGGACTTCATCTACATGAATGAGTTCTTGGGTTGCACTGACCGTTTGGTCATCACACCATTGACTGACAGGTAGTTGTTTTGAATAAATATTTTTCACCCCTCAGTCCCCATGTTGCAAAAAGTCTGTATTGAAATGTTAAAATTACCAAATGTGATGGAGGTTGTGAAGGCATGTTTGTTGCTGTTGGTTCCACATCACTGTCTAGTGACATAATAGGCTCCACATGAGAGATGCGCGCGCAGCTCAGCGTCATTCATTGCGCCGTTTCTCAGTGAAGCGAACGCGGATTTACAAGCTGCATGAAATTAATATTTCTGCAGCTGATTTTGATAAATTCTTATGATGGTAACAGCAAATTTGTTTTTAACTAACATGACGTAATGGCTGCAAATCATAAATCCATTGCATTGTACTTATTTCATACATATGTATTGTATAGGGCCATTAGTTGATTCCATAATCTTTTTTCCTGCAGATGTTACATCACCCTGTCTCAGGCCCTGGGTATGTCCCTGGGGGGTGCCCCTGCTGGACCTGCTGGAACAGGGAAGACTGAGACCACCAAAGACATGGGCAGATGTCTGGGGAAATATGTGGTTGTCTTCAACTGCTCCGATCAGATGGATTACAGAGGACTGGGACGTATCTACAAAGGTCAGTCGAGTTGTTCTCATTGCCTAGTTGCTACTGTTTAAAGGCGCCCTTCCTGTCCAGTTGGGATGGCTTAATTTAGGGCTGTACTGACTCTGCAGACCTGGTGGCTACATTTCTTTCCCCCGTGGGAATGACAGTGGCTGTTGGTGGGACAACAAAATGATTAGATTCTCTGGATGTGGTGACAAATCATAAACACTGTCTTATTAGATAGCATGTGTAAAATTGGGTAGTTGACAGGTGCCTTAAAATATCTACAATTATATTTTCTGACGTCTCTTTACAGAAATCCGTCAAGTTTTTCATGTGATTGTTACCTACTAGGTAAAGAATGAAAAATTGAACATGTGTTTTTTCATTGTTTAGGATTAGCCCAGTCTGGCTCTTGGGGCTGCTTTGATGAGTTCAACAGAATTGAGCTGCCTGTACTGTCTGTGGCTGCCCAGCAGATTGCCATTGTCTTGACTTGTAAGAAGGAGAAGAAACCAGTTTTCATTTTCACTGATGGTGATACTGTGGACATGGACCCAGAATTTGGAATCTTCTTGACAATGGTAAGTGCATATAGCAATTTGTATTTGCAAAATAGTGCTGCTGATGCTTTACTGTTAATCATGTATATAATAAGCCTTAGGTGTCTCTTGGTACGTCCTTTCTCAATGAGTATAATGTATTTGGCAGGGTTTGTTTTTTAGCAAGTGACCATTTGCCAATTACCAGATGTCAACCATACTATACATGTAATACAGAAAGCCATCCATTGTTTGATGATTAATTCTTAGTATTTTTACTTACTAGAACCCTGGTTATGCTGGCCGTCAAGAGCTGCCAGAGAACTTGAAGATCAACTTCCGCACAGTAGCCATGATGGTGCCTGATCGTGCTATCATTATGCGTGTCAAGCTTGCCAGTTGTGGTTTCCAGCAGAACGTCATGCTGTCTAAGAAGTTCTACACACTGTATAAGCTTTGTGAGGAACAGCTCAGCAAACAGGTATAAAGATCTGGCATACATTGCGTAGAAACCTAGTGATTTGCGTTTTTGAATTACTAGAAATTTCACCTGTAGAATATTAGAATTTTTGTTTTGTTGGGATAACATACTAAGTCTTATCCTACCTTTAAATTAATCATGATGTAAATATGTTGAATTTTTCGTCTTAGGTCCATTATGATTTTGGTCTACGTAACATTCTCTCTGTGTTGAGAACCCTGGGAGCTTTCAAGAGGTCAAATCCAGAAGATGGAGAAAGCACCATTGTCATGAGAGTCCTGAGAGACATGAACCTCTCCAAACTTGTGGATGAAGATGAACCACTGTTCTTGTCTCTGATTGAAGATTTGTTCCCTGGAATGCAGCTGGACAAAGCAGGTTACCCTGAGGTGGAGGCAGCCATTGCCAAGAATGTGAGTAATTTTAGAGGGTTGGTATTATGTGCAGTCTGGTGTAGAAAATAACTGCTCAAAAAGTGTACTTTTGCATACAGTTTGATTAATTTGTGTGTGTGTGTGTGTGTGCTCTTGTGCACGCATTCTAACNAATTGAATGTTTTAATTTTGATTTAACCAGGGAATAAGATCTCCACGATTGTATGGTGTTGTGCTGAGGTCCTCGCTTGTTCCACATAGACAGGTATGTGTGTGTGTGTGTGTGTGTGTGTGTGTGTGTGTGTGTAAGTGCGCATGTGCACATGCGTGCAAGCATGCGCATGTGCATGTGTCAGTGCAAGCATGAATGCATGCAAGCGTATAAAAATTACACATCTCACAGAGCATTCAATAAGAATATGTAAATTTATTTTCTATAGGTAACTGAGATGGGTCTGATCCAGCACTCTGCATGGATCCTCAAACTGATCCAGCTGTATGAAACCCAGCGTGTACGTCACGGTATGATGGCACTGGGTCCCAGTGGAGCTGGCAAGACCAAGTGTATCCACGGCTTGATGAAGGCTATGACAGACTGTGGCACCCCACATAGGGAGATGAGAATGAACCCCAAGGCTATCACGGCACCTCAGATGTTTGGTCGTCTTGATGTCGCCACCAATGACTGGACTGATGGTATCTTCTCTACACTGTGGAGACGTACACACAAGAGCAAGAAGGTGAGAGTGTTGGTAGATTTGCAAGTTACATTTATGAATGTGCCAGCATTTTCTGCTGATTAATAGCCAGAATATGTATAGGATTAATAAATTCAAATCATGAGCCACACAAATCAAATTTTTTTTTAAAAAATCAACTTTGTTCCTTAGTCTGTGATTTCTGTTGGTTGGCATTAGTTATAAAATAAATGAATTGTTCACAGGATCAGTTCTTTAATGTTTGACATTCCAGGGTGAGCACATTTGGCTAGTACTTGATGGCCCAGTAGATGCCATCTGGATTGAGAACTTGAACTCTGTGCTGGATGATAACAAGACCCTGACCCTGGCCAATGGTGACCGTATCCCCATGGCTCCCAACTGTAAGATTTTGTTTGAGGTCCACAACATTGACAATGCCTCCCCTGCCACTGTGTCCAGAAACGGTATGGTGTTCATGAGCTCGTCCATCCTGGACTGGTCACCCATTCTGCAAGGTAAGTCAAGGGCAGTAGCTCCTTGTATGTAGGCTCACACTAGGATCAAATTTATATTTTGCAAATTTTAGCTGAGGAATTTTCAACAAAATTTTGAGATAAATTTATGATAAAATCAAACAATTTCAACATAAAATTACATTTTCCTTCATCAAAGTAGAAAACGTTTATCATTTGCATAAAATTTATTAGAGTGAGCCTTGTATATAGTCAAAGGGTTCAGGCTTCATAGAAAGCAACTGCTCTAGGGAGGTTAAAGATGGGGCTTCTGGAGTCAGAAACATAAGGTTTAATATAGATCTCTATAGGACAAAAAAAAGTTACAGTAGTTGGTGTGAGCATTTGAAAAAAAAAAACAGAATTTTTATGGATATGGTAACCATTGGTCAATCAGAATGCACATGATATATGGATATAAATAAATAAATTTCTAGATATTTTAATGATCTTTATCTACAGGCTGGCTGCTCAAGAGACCTCCAGCACAGGCAGATGTCATCTTCTCATTGTTTGAGGGCATTTTCCCAGAATTGTACCAATACATCCTGCAGAGTCTGAATCCCAAGATGACTGTGAGTATATAATACCAAACTGTTATGGAATTTTTTTTCTGCACTAAAACAATCTATGATAGATAATGGCTGTAGCAAGCCTTAGAATGTTTGATTTCTGAAAGGTTGCTTAGATTTTATGCATTGGATTTGAGTAAATTTAACATATAATGTAATGCATTTTATTTGTGCTTATAAACTGGTTAATATGATGAAAGATATTTGTTAATACATATTTGTTTATACATCATTTTTGTCTTTCAGATACTTGAGTGTATGTATATCAGGCAGGCCATAGATGTCCTGGAGGGCCTGATCCCAGAGAAAGGGGACAGTAAGGATGACAAGGATATCAGCAAGGCACACCTGGAGAAGCTGATTGTTTTGTCCATTATGTGGTCTCTTGGAGCCCTGCTGGAGTTGGATGAAAGGAAAAAGGTATTTTGATTTGACTACCTCCATGCTCTCTGCCCTCCCTTCAAGCAGTCCTGTTGCTGTCAAATGACATTTCAGTATAGAATTGATTGTATCTTTACCTCCTTATTACTATTGGTCTGTTATAAAAGTTCATTAAATTGGTGATTTTAGAACATTTTTTGCTGCACTTCTGCTATTTGAGATTTTGCATTTCTGTTCTTAGCTTGAGGAGTTCTTGAATAACAAGAAAAATGACGTCAGTCTTGACCTGCCCCCTGTAGAAGGGGATGAGACCATCTTTGAGTACATTGTCACAAGTGCTGGCGAGTGGGAGCACTGGAGAAACAGGGTAAGTTTGTTCTTTGCCAAATAAAATATTGTATTTTTTTTAATCCAAACAACTTTTTTTCAAATTGAATGTGAAGTTTATCTTCTGGGTCTTCCAGAAGGCTGCAGAATGTTTGCTTGAAAGACACTTTTATAATGTGAAATGGTCTATACAGTTTGAAATTGACTCACACTGTATAAATGTAACCCAGGTGTATCAGAAATTAAATATAATTGTGTCATTTAGATAAATTAAATAGATAAATTTGCTTAAATGGACAGTCTTTTCCCATAAAACATGATACGAAAATTCCAAGTAGGCCAACCAAAAAATAAAAATTGATCTCAGAATAATGACGAAGTACCTTGAAATTGAGGTGCTCAAAGTGAAGATTTTTGTGTCTTCTGTATAGGTCCCTGAATACCTGTATCCCTCAGACAGCACTCCAGAGTATTCCTCCATCTTGGTCCCCAATGTGGACAATGTGAGGACAGACTATCTCATCAACACCATTGCCAAGCAGGGCAAATCTGTGCTGCTCATTGGAGAACAGGTAAACTTCTGTGCTGTTAATACTTAGCATTTTATGGGGCTTTATTCAGTGTTAATTAATTAATTAATTAATTAATTAATTAATTAATTAATTAATTCATTCATTCATTCATTCATTTTGGAAGTGGTTTCCTTTTTTCACTTTTATGCTGTTTCTTCCACAAGTCATGTAGTTTGGTAATATACTGTTACCTTTGTACTTTTTTTTAATATTTTCTGCTCTCTGTTGTGACTCCATGCCATTGCTGCCTAGTTTTCATGAACTATTTCACATAATATCAAGTGGAAAAGAAGAATATTTCAATATTATGTAATGATAAGGTCAAATAATGCACTGTATATTATATATCTTTAATACTTTTTCAGGGCACAGCCAAGACTGTCATGGTGAAGGGTTACTGCGGGAAGTTTGACCCAGAAACCTTTGTTTTCAAGAGTTTTAACTTCTCCAGTGCCACCACAGCACAGATGGTACAGGTAAGGACTAGCTGGGAGCCTAGTCTGGGTCAGTTGGTCCCTGGAAAACATAACAAATAAAACCTATTCAGGTGCAAAGTACCTTTCAATAGACTTTTAAGGTTTGTGTCATGCCAGCATCACTGTGATTGATGGGCCTCTCAACTTGAGATTTACCAGGGAATATAGAGAATGTGAAAAAAATAAAATAATTTTTTATATTTTAAAAATTTTTTAATTTTTATACATTTTTATGCATCTTTATATTTAATACCATAAATATTTGTATAAAATTCATACTTTTAACAGCTATGAAGTTACAAATCATGAATTATTGTCATTAATTTCATCAATTTCAGAGAACTGTGGAAAGCTTTGTGGACAAGCGTATGGGTACAACCTATGGTCCTCCAGCTGGCAAGAAGATGGCTATCTTCATTGATGATGTCAACATGCCCATCATTAATGAATGGGGAGATCAGGTACACCAGATTGTTTCCTTTTAGAGTTATTTACTTGATCTGAATTTAAATCATTGCTTGCTCCAAGGTTAACAGTTTATTTGAAGTAACAAATGCAATATGAGTTTTTAAAATAAAAATCTAAATGATCCTAACAATTAGATGTTGTTGAATATTTATTAAAAATGCTTTTTATCATATGTTCCTGCCAAAAAGCTTATATATAACTCTTATCAAATGTGTAATTTTGTATAGTTCTTTGTCCAGGTACCATTATGTTTGAATGGACTTTTTATACAATATGTAATTTGTTTACCAGGTGACAAATGAAATCACTCGTCAGATGATGGAAACTCATGGCTTTTACAACCTGGAGAAACCAGGAGAATTCACCAACATCGTGGATGTCCAATTTATATCCGCCATGATCCATCCTGGTGGTGGCCGTAACGATATTCCACAGCGACTCAAGAGACAGTTCAACATTTTCAACTGTACCCTTCCATCCAATGCTTCCATTGACAAGATCTTTTTGACTGTTGGTTGTGGTCATTTTGTCAAGGTGAGAAACTTTTGCTGGGTAAAATTCAGTGTAAATGAATTCAGTGTAAAGTGTGAATAAAATATGGATGAAAAATGAAGATATAAATTTGAATAAAAGTGAGTGCATTTGACCATGCCATTGCCTTTATCTTTTTATCTATGCTAGGTTAGATCACAAAAAGAACTTAAGTGTCATCACATTTAATTTTTAAATCATTTATTAATATTTTCATTAAAAAAAGGGACATGATCACTGACAATTACTTGGGGAATAAATATACAGTATAGTCAAAGTGTTAATTTCCTTGAATATTTCATTATCTCTTTTTATTTTCCAGGAACGTGGCTTTGCTGATGATGTAGTAGAAAGTATTAAGACTCTTGTGCCAGCCACCAGACGCCTGTGGCAGAAAACCAAGATTAAGATGTTGCCCACACCTGCTAAGTTCCACTATGTCTTCAACTTGAGAGATCTCAGCAGAATATGGCAGGTGAGAATAAAGAACATGGATCCAGATGGACAGTCAAAACTTTCTCAAAAAGAAAAAAAAAACAAAAAACTTTGCAATGTAAATTAGGTGAATTGACTGGTTAATTTGAGTCATAAAATTTGTCAGATGGTCTTCTAGGTGTACATAGTTCAAAAGAAAGTCAGAACTTTCTGTAATTAAGTCTAAAAAATTTAATTTGGTGACTTACTTGATTTGGCTGTGGAAGATTTACTTTGAATGGCTCTAATTATACGTGCTGGGATCTCCTGCTAAATTGTTTTGTTCCTTTTTCAGGGTATGTTGAAGACCATTAGCAGTTCCATAGATGATGCATCTAAGGCTGTTTCTCTGTGGAAACACGAGTGCTATCGTGTCATTGCTGATCGCTTTACCATGCAGGCTGACAAGGACTGGTTTGAGAAGACTGTTAAACAGGTGGGTTTTCATGATTTGTGCATGTTTGAATAATTTTACCAAGCACTCTCTGGAGCATGTTTTGCTTTTTTTTTTCTTAAATGATCAATAAGCCTGTAAAAGTGCGTGTCTGCATGTTTGCCATAAATTTTTTTATTAAGAAGGATTTAACAAGTTGTTCGTTTTGAGCATATTACTATTAAAGTAGAATGACTCTTAAGAATGATTCTTAACTTGTTTAATTTTCAGACTTGTGAAGAAGAGTGTGGCCAAGCAACTGCAGCTTTACTTCACGAAGAGCCATACTTTGTTGACTTTATGCAAGAAGCTCCTGAGCCAACTGGTAAGACATTGTCAAGTTCAACTTCTTCAGTCTATATAGGATCTCTACACAGATCAGTTATAATATCCTGACAGTATGCTTCATGCTCTATTTCATAAAGCAGTTATACTGTAGAGATGCATTAAAAAGTAATAAACAAATGGCTGACTGTACTGTTTCTATCCTGTTTTGATAATTTTCGTTTCACAGTTCCGGATGTGCAGAAGCCAGGTAGAGTGGGACAGTAGAAACTTGTCCTCCTAAAACACCCAACAGTCCATCTTTTCTTTCAAAATCTGAATACCTTATTCTCGACCAAGCTAGCACACCCTCCTTTTCTTTGTATTGTTAATGTTTTATTCCCCCCATCAAACATAACTATATTTCCCTGAATACATCTGTCTTCAATCCAGTATTTTGTCACATGATATACCAAATTATAAAAATATCAGTACTTTTACATTTTATCCTTTGTTTTGTATGGCCATACACCATTAGGTACAATGTATACACCCTTTTTTCATTTTGATACCAGATTAATTAATTAATTGATTAATTACTGGAATAAACATATTTTTATCACTTTTTAAGTGCAAACTAGTATGCGATTAGAACCTGTATGTTGTATAGAAAACCTGCATCCTACATAAAATTAGTCCAGTACATGTAACTCTTTCACATAACTACTTAAAATGCCAATGAGTGTATAAAACTTACTGAATGAAAAGGAATGTTGAAAAAAGAAATACAAAGTCTTTAGATTGGAAAATGTTAAAAAATTTAAAAAAAGGAAGGTTAATTGATCCCTGGTTTGGTTTTACAGGAGAGGAAGCTGATGATGCTGATTTGGAAGCTCCCAAGATTTACGAGCTTGTTGAAACACTGGACAAACTGAACGAAAAGTTACAGGCTTTCCAAAGCCAGTATAATGAGTCCATTAGAGGTGCAAACATGGACTTGGTGTTTTTCAAGGTATGTAGACGCATAAAAAAAGAAGGGGATATGAAGGAAGTAAACCTGGATCATTTTCAATCTAAACACCTGATTGATAGTAAATTTTGTGATTTGTGAAGTCTACTTTTAGAACAATTTTTAGAGTTATGCAGGCTTTTCAAAAATATTAAAAAAAAAATATATATATATATAAATAAATAAATAAGTTAATTTATGCATTAATGACCATTATTTTCTAAAACATCAATAAAAAAAAATGAGATAACATTTTTTAGTTACTTCAGACATTGGTGTCCTGTTGTCATGATGTCTTCATTTTTTTTTTCAGGATGCCATGACCCACTTGGTGAAAATCTCCCGTGTGATAGGTATGCCAGGAGGCCATGCCTTGCTTGTAGGTGTGGGTGGCTCTGGAAAACAGTCTCTAACAAGACTTGCTTCCTTCATTGCTGGATACAAAACCTTCCAGATTACATTAACAAGGTATTGAAATGAAATGAGTAGGTAGATAGATAGATAGATAGATTAGATTTTTTTACTATGTTTTTTTACTAAGGGTTTTAATTTTTTAAAAGTACACTCAAAAGGTTCTTCTAGCTGTTTTAAACTCATATTTCATGTTTTGCAAATGTTAATTATATTGTATATCTTTTGTGAACTTAATTCACGAACATTTTCATTGTTTCAGATCATATAATGCAAGCAACTTGCTTGAGGACTTTAAAGTATTGTACCGTACTGCTGGTCAGCAGGGAAAAGGAATCACTTTCCTGTTTACTGATAATGAAATCAAGGATGAAGGATTTCTGGAGTATATTAACAATATGTTGGCATCAGGAGAGGTGAGGGAAAACCGCTGACAGTCACATTGTATAGCTGAAGTAAAAATAATTTTTGAAAAAGTTGATCAGCTGTATTTTCTTTCCCAAAACTATTGTGGATTCAGATTCTGAAATAAGCATTTTGTGAAGAAAAATAATACATTTATTGAGCAATAAGTAACTTTTTGTTATCGTTAAAAATTATTTTTTGTCAAGGAAGATATTTTGAAACATAACCTAACTTCACACATTTCAGGTGTCCAATCTCTTTGCTCGTGATGAAATGGATGAGATTCTGCAAGAATTAGTCGCAGTTATGAAGAGAGAATTCCCCAGACGCCCACCCACTAATGAGAACCTCTATGATTATTACCTGAGCCGTTGTCGTGACAACTTGCATGTTGTCCTGTGTTTCTCTCCTGTGAGTGTTTTATAATAGTGAAATATGCTATTACATAACTGGTCTTCTCACAAATATGTGAAAATGTTTAAATCAATTGTACATATCCTGGACAAAAATGTTAATTTATTCTATAATTAATTTGATTTAATGTTAAACGTCTCAGTATTACCTCCCCAATTCACTCAACATCAGGTAATCCATTTTTCAGATCCACATAAATTCATTAAAATAAGGTTGATTTAAAGGGAAACAGTTGTCATATACTATATTTTTTCAATTGTGGCCTTATGTCTCACACGGGACGAAGAGGAATGATGATATATTTTCAATGTCTTATCACTTCAGGTTGGTGAGAAGTTCCGCAACCGTTCCCTGAAGTTCCCTGGTCTGATCTCTGGCTGTACCATGGACTGGTTCCAGAGGTGGCCCAAGGATGCCTTGCAGGCCGTCTCCAACCACTTCCTGGCCAACTTTGATATTGTGTGCACTCCACAGGTGAAGAGTGCCGTGGTGAACGTCATGGGAGAGTTCCAGGTTAGTCACTGTAGAAATATTAAATTCATGGACACTATATATATATGTGGTATGAAAAGTAGTAGAGTATATACCTTTCAGTTAAACATCTTTTGAATGATTAGATTTTGTGCTTGGTGCTGATGAATTGAAGAATCTTTTTTTAAAAATCGCTTACCTAAACAACATTTGAGAATCTGGATAGTTGGTAAAATTTCATTCTTTTTTTAAAGGATTTGGTGGCAGAAATTTGTGTGGATTACTTCCAAAGATTCCGCAGACAGACCCATGTAACACCAAAATCTTACCTGTCCTTTATTGCTGGCTACAAGAGCATTTATGTAACCAAAAAGGGTGAAGTCGGTTTGTTGGCCCAAAGGATGAACACAGGTCTGAAAAAACTGGTTGAAGCCACAGAATCAGTTAATGAACTCTCCAAAGAGTTGGTTGTTAAGGAAAAGGAATTGGCAGTAGCCTCTAAGAAGGCAGATGTTGTGTTGCAAGAGGTGACCACTAAGGCAACCGCAGCAGAGAAGGTCAAAGCCCAAGTCCAGAAAGTAAAAGATAAAGCCCAAGCTATTGTGGATGAAATTTCTGTAAGTTGATCTTTGTATGAGGAATTTTAAATCTTTATTGACAGATTGCCAAGTTTTTTTAGCTTCATTAACTGAGATCATTATTACTTAAAAGTTATACAAAATGGCTTCACTATTAAAGCTTCCAAGATTTTTTTCAACTAAATAAAACTCCATTCAGGTGTTCACCATCATGAAACGGGGACTGGTATTTAACTTGTACATAAACTTTATCTACCTAGGCTGACAAGGCAATAGCAGAAGGCAAACTAGAAGCTGCTCGCCCTGCACTAGAGGAGGCTGAGTCTGCTCTGCAGACCATCAAACCTGCCCATATTGCCACTGTGCGTAAGCTTGGGAAGCCACCACATCTCATCATGAGGATCATGGACTGTGTGCTCCTTCTCTTCCAAAAGAGGCTGGAACCAGTGACTATGGATCCAGAAAGACCTTGTTGTAAGCCATCTTGGGGAGATGCTCTGAAGTTAATGAGCAGCGGAAACTTCCTGGGTGGTCTGATGGGATTCCCTAAGGTAAGGTTGGAACTATCATGCATGCACGCATGCCCTCGCACACATGAAAGCGTGCATGCAATGTTGCTTGACTAAGCATTTAACTGATATACTTCTATTCTTAAAACATGCCATGAACAAACGCATAATCGGACAATGGAATCAGAGCATTGTTAATTTTCATGTGCTATTTTACTAAGATTTTGTTGCTGATACTAGAATTATTTCAATAAAGACACATGTGAAACAAAGCAAATATTAATGCTCTGTATTGTTTTTGGTTTTATTTTTCTACATTTTCACACTTAACTAGCTGTTTAACCACAATACTCACAATGGCACATTCCCTATATACTGTTATTGAACAACAAAGAAATTGTTTCTCAAGTTTCTATGACTTCCTTTTATCAGGACAGTATCAATGCAGAGACTGTGGAGCTACTGGCCCCATACCTGGAGATGGAAGACTATAACTTGGAGTCTGCCAAGAAGGTGTGCGGTGATGTGGCTGGTCTGTGCTCCTGGACACAAGCCATGTCTTTCTTCTTTGGCATCAACAAAGAAGTATTGCCTCTCAAGGTGAGTCTGGGAGTTGTTCACAATTAAAGAATGTACAGGTATTGTATTAAATAGTTGCTGCAACTGGGCCTTTCCTAGCCCGAACTTTACAGGTTATCGTAAAGAACTACTTGCAATGAGCTATATTTTATGAAGTGCTATATACATCTACCAAGACCCTAATTCTTTACTATGAAGCAAAGAATAATAGAAAAATACCTTTGAATCACATAGGTAGGTTAGCATAAGTAATTATTAAGTATAATTGCAATTCCTAAGTCTAAGCTATTGGCTAAGTAAAGGCACACTAAGTAAATAAATCTTTGCTCAGTTTTTGTGTTTTTTGCTTTGCAGGCCAACTTGATAGTCCAGGAGTCCCGCCTGAATTCAGCTATGCATGATTTGGGCCAGGCACAAGCTCAGCTGGATGAAAAACAGAAGGAATTGGATGAGGTGCAGGCCATGTATGATGCTGCTATGAGAGAAAAACAGGTTAGCATTTGCTTGCTTGGCAACTGCTTAGATTTTTAAGTTAATTTCAGTACATTAAATTAGCTTCTAGGTAAGGTTCTCTTATTATTTGTGATAGCTCCAAATTGAATTGCTTAAAATTCACGTACACAAACATTGAATGGAAGTGGAATATCAATATAATACTTTAGCAATGTCTTTCTAAATTTACCGTGATATAAATTTATCATGTATAACACATGAAATAAAAATAAATCATTTCAGACCTTGCTTGATGATGCGGATGCCTGTCGCCGCAAAATGACCAATGCCACAGCCCTGATTGAAGGTTTGGCTGGAGAGCGTGTCCGCTGGACAGAGGCCAGTAAACAGTTTGAGGCACAGATTAACCGGCTTGTTGGTGATGTGCTCCTGGCCACTGGGTTCTTGTCCTACACTGGACCTTTCAATCAGGAGTTCAGGAACCTCATCCTGAAGAACTGGAAGAAAGAAATGTCTACAAACAAGATTCCTTTCTCCGATGTAAGTTATGTTGCTGTTTTGTAGTGATTTGATTTTTTGTTAGTTTCTTTGTGAAACAGAGATGCTTGGCAACTTCTGCTAATCTCAGTGTTTGTTAAAGTAATTAAGGTTAAAATATCAAATTTTAAAATTCTTATTATTTATGTCATAATTTTTTTAACTTTTGAACATTTGAAGAATTAAAATCGTAATAATTATTTTGAAGTATGACATGATGACCATGAATATTTTCATCTTTCAGGACTTGAATATCGTCAGCATGTTAGTTGACCCTGCCACCATTGGGGAGTGGAACTTGGAGGGTCTCCCCAATGATGAGTTGTCCATTCAGAATGGCCTGATTGTGACCAAGGCTGCCCGCTTCCCTCTGCTCATAGATCCACAAATGCAGGGCAAGTTTTGGATCAAGAGCAGGGAAGGTAAAAATGAATTGCAGGTGAGTGATTTAGAGTTTGGTTAAACTGTTGCCATAGTACACAATCATTATCATTTTACGATATAAGAATTTCTCTTTATTTCTTAGCAATTGAAAAGAATTAAGTACCAGGTAATAATTTTTCATTGCTACATTCAGTTAATTGGTTGATATACTCCCATTCAGTTCAGTGCACCTTTATTCATATATTTCATTTATTATATTAATTTAAAAATTCTAACACTAATGCCCTGTTTTAGGTAACATCCTTAAATCACAAGTACTTCCGTACCCACCTTGAGGACAGTCTGTCCCTGGGCAGACCCCTGCTTATTGAGGATGTTGCAGAAGAATTGGATCCAGCTCTGGATAACGTGCTGGAGAAGAACTTCATCAAGAGTGGCAGCACTTTTAAAGTAGGTTTGCTTTGAAGACTTAAACTCGGAGCGTAAATTAATGTTAATTATGTATTTAGGTAGCTTTGAATAATGTTACGAATTATACCAAACAAACCTGCTATTTTAAATCTCCAAGCAAATGCTCATAGTGGACAAAGATTGAAAGTATTCATTCGTGTGATTAACCAGGTGAAAGTCGGAGACAAAGAAGTGGATGTAATGGAAGGGTTCCGGCTGTACATCACCACCAAGCTGGCTAACCCAGCCTATACCCCAGAGATCTCAGCCAAGACCTCCATCATTGACTTCACTGTCACCATGAAGGGGCTGGAAGATCAGCTTCTGGGTATTGTCATCCTGACAGAGAAAGCTGTAAGTATTGTATCATAATATATTCTGTTCTCTTCATGAATATGTTACAATATGTAACATTGATGTCCATGATGAACATTGTTCTGATTTTGACCACTGGTTGCCTGTGCGCTTACCTCGTTTCGTTATTTGTCGCGTTTTTACCTGTTGTTATTTTGCAAGTGAGATAGGAGATTGACAAATACTTGAAATTAATATATAGTACATGATGGATTTGGATAGTTAGCATTTTCCATGCAAAGCCCTACTCACTTTTTAAATAACTATCTCATCTTTTTTATTTTATTATAAGAAATTAAGTAACATCAGCTTACAATATATGTCATAATTTCAGGAACTCGAGTCTGAGCGTACCAAGCTTATGGAAGACGTGACAGCCAACAAGAGAAAGATGCAGGAGCTGGAAGACAATCTTCTCTACAGGCTGACATCCACTGAGGGATCCCTGGTAGAGGATGAGTCTCTGATTGAGGTGCTGAAGAACACCAAGGTGACCGCTCAGGAGGTCAGTGAGAAACTGTCCATTGCTGCCGAGACCGAGATCAAGATTAACACAGCCAGAGAAGAGTTCAGACCTGGTAGGTAACTTAAAAATGATACATGGATTGCAGATATTTCAGAATAATGGTAGAATGCTATTTGTTTCATATGAAATTTAAGATGGTTGACATATCTTGATTATCAGTGGAAGAGAGTTCTGTACATGTTTTAATTTCAAAACCTTTTTTCTTTATTGCATTTTTAAATTAAAATTAAAATTAAAAATTTTCCTGGGACTTGAGATGGTTTCAATAGTATGGTCTGATTGATACAGTGGCTTTTTCATTTCAGTTGCAACTCGTGGCAGTATCCTGTACTTCTTGATTGTGGAGATGAGCATGGTGAACACCATGTACCAGACATCTCTGAAGCAGTTCTTGGGACTCTTTGACATTTCCATGGCACGCTCTGTCAAGTCTCCCATCACAGGCAAACGCATTGCCAACATCATTGAGTATCTGACGTTTGAGGTGTTTAGATACACAGTGCGTGGCCTGTATGAGGAGGACAAGTTTACATTCACAATCCTGCTGACTCTGAAGATTGAGATCAACCAGGGGCGCATCAAGAATGAAGAATTCCAGACATTCATCAAGGGTGAATTGACTTAGTTTACAAATAGGAATTGGAATATAGTAAAACTCTTTTGAATTTCTGTATGACTTTTTATCAAGTCTCCAGAGAAGGAGTTTTTTTTTTATCAACATGCTTTACATTGTAGGTGGTGCTGCACTTGATCTTAATGCTGTGGAGCCCAAACCTAGAAAGTGGATCCTAGACATGACATGGCTGAACTTAGTAGAGCTGAGCAAGCTGCCACAGTTTGGTCAGATCCTGGGCCAAGTTGGCAGAAATGACAAGGTATGTTTCATCTGGCAGAGCATGTGAAAACAATGAAAACCATAAAGATATATACATCATGTGCCAAAGCTTACGTACAACTGTGTGTGCAAACATACACACGTTTTTTGTTAGGGTATTGATCTTTGAAATAGTTAAATTTGTTGAGTAATCAAAATTGTTATTTGTAATTTAAATGATAAAGATGATCTAATAAAACAACATTTTCTCATCACCCATTAGGCCTGGAAAGCCTGGTTTGATGAAGATGCCCCTGAGGAGGCAACAATCCCAGATGGTTACACTTCCTCGCTGGATACATTCAGAAAGCTTTTGCTCATTCGTAGTTGGTCTCCAGACCGTGTGATTCCTATGGCTAAGAAGTATGTAGCCGAATCTATGGGTGTACAGGTAGGTCCAAGGCATTAAATTAGATTTTTTTTTTAAATTTTGATTGAATGAATAGGAAGAAAAAATAGTTGTCACTTACCAAAAAGTTTAAGAAAAGAAGTAAACCTTTTTTATAGTATTATTTTAGTTAAGTTTAAGGTAGAAATACTAATCAAAGTATTAAGTCTTTTCATTTAATTACAATATATGTTTATTTTTTATTCCAGTTTGCTGAAAGTGTTATCTTGAATTTGGATGGCATGTGGGAGGAGTCTGACAAACGCTGCCCATTGATTTGCTTCCTGTCACTTGGTTCTGATCCCACTGACAGCATTGAGAAACTGGCCAAACAGAAGTCACTGAGTAAGTCGAGTAGCTTACTTTTGAGGAATATCTAGTATAATGATACTTCAATTTTCTGTTTACCACTAGATTACATAATGTAGCATCATACACTGCATCTGGTGGTTATATTTTATAAAATTATATATTTTATTTCATTGTAATCTTTGAAATGTGCAATGGGCGTATCAAAAATTGAAGAGAAACAAGTTGCAGTATCAACATTTTTTTCTCTTTTCCTCCAGAATGTGGTGCCATTTCTATGGGTCAAGGTCAAGAGGTGCATGCACGTCGTCTGCTGTCCATTTCCATGCAAGAGGGAAGATGGGTTCTTCTACAGAACTGCCATTTGGGCTTGAACTTTATGGATGAACTTCTGGAAATCGTAAGTATTTCAACAGAAAAATGAAATAAATAATGATGATAATAATTTTTAATAAAACAAATGCTGGAGTAGTAATCTATCCTTTATATGCCTGAGGATTAATAAATGAGGACATTGCCTGAACAGTATGTAGATACTTAAACACTTCTTTATTTTTCTTCAGGTTCTCACCACAGAATCAGTGCATGATCAGTTCCGCTGTTGGATCACCACCGAGCCACATCCCAAGTTCCCCATCAACCTGCTGCAGAGCAGTATCAAGTTCACAAATGAGCCTCCCCTGGGTGTCAAAGCAGGCCTGAAGAGGACATATGCAGGCATCACACAGGTCAGTGCACTAACAGCCTCTCATTACTCAGGGTGCTCAGATGATTTCATGAATCTTTTTTTCAAAAAGTGTATAAGTTAAGATTTTCAGTTATTTCAGATATGCAGAATTAGTTTATGAGAAAAAAAAATTGTGGAGAAAAAATTAATTTCTTTATTGTTTTGATCGCCTTCTACAGGAGCAACTAGACATCAGTAACATGCCTCAGTGGCGCCCCATGCTGTATGGCGTGGCCTTCCTCCACACCACAGTGCAGGAGAGGCGTAAGTTTGGCCCCATTGGCTGGAACATCCCCTATGAGTTCAACCAGTCTGATTTCAATGCCACTGTTCAGTTCTGCCAGAACCACTTGGATGACATGGATCCAAAGAGGGTAAGAGATTTAGACTTTGTCTGCAACCATTGGAATATCTGTAAGAACACGTCTTTTTTTTTGTCTAGAATTAATGTGTGACATATAGATCTCATAATATCTCATTACTTTAGTTACAGTTACAGCATGTGTAGATACAACGGACTAATGGTTTGAATATTTGCCATTTTAGGGTGTGTCATGGCAGACAGTGCGGTACATGATTGGAGAGATCCAGTATGGAGGACGTGTGACAGATGACTATGACAAACGTCTGCTCAATACCTATGCCAGAGTGTGGTTTGGAGAAAACATGTTTGCTGATAGCTTCCATTTCTACAAAGGTAAGTCTTTCTTGGGTTGGTTGAGGAATTTACCGTTTTGTTTTTGAGTTACCAATTTCATCAGGTGTTAAAAACTACCTGTCAAAGAATGCAGTAACTTGAAACTGATTGTTATTTCTTCTCAAGGATACAAGATTCCAAAATGCAAGACAATAGAAGAGTACAGGAACAACATTGAGCAGATGCCTTTGCAAGATACACCAGAGGTGTTTGGGCTCCATCCAAATGCTGACATCACGTAAGTCCAGTGTGTGTGTGTGTGTGTGTGTGTGTGTGTGCGTGTGCACATGCATGTCTGAATTGCATCATTGGCTGCCTGAAGATTATGGGCTTGAAATACAAATTGCTGTAATAAGTGCTATATATCTCTTTTTTTTTTTACCATTTTTTTCTTCACTTAATGATTGCACGTAGAAACTATGTTCAAAACTTCCATCTCTTTTCTCAATCAAATGTTTTCAAAAATCTTTCCAGCTATCAAACCAACACAGCCAACTCTATGCTGGCCACAATAATGAACATCCAGCCCAAAGACTCTGGAGGAGGTGGTGGAGAAACCCGTGAGACTATCGTCTACCGTCTAGCAGACGACATGCTGGAGAAACTCCCGCCAGATTATTCACCCTTCGAGGTGAGGGATCGTCTGAAGAAAATGGGTCAGTTGCAGCCATTGAACATCTTCTTGCGCCAGGAAATTGATCGTATGCAGCGCGTCATTTCTGTTGTGAGGACAACGCTAGTGGACCTGAAGCTGGCCATTGATGGTACTATCATCATGAGTGAGAATCTGAGAGATGCCCTGGATAACATGTTTGATGCTAGGGTGCCCAACTTCTGGAAAAAGGTCAGTATTGTATGAGAGAATGAGAAATGTTGGAATATACTGTAGGCAATAATGGGCTCTCTAAAGAAATCAATAGTGCCTAATCATATTGTGTCAGCAAGACTATAAACTTAGAATAGTTATGTTGATTTTGTATAAGTTATTTTATAGAAATTACACATTTATACACTTTTTCCTTTTAATTAGCTTTCTCTTGTTTCTCTTTTTCTTGCCAATGAGTGTCCTCCAGGCAAAAAGCTGATAAAAGAAATATGTGCATTTAGAACTAAAATAATGAAAAATGCCACATTAGAATAAGTGTAGAATATACTTAAGTTTGCTCTGATAGAGTGGACCCAGTCTACATTAGTCTATTTTATGTTCATCTCTGTATTATGCTGTAGATCTCCTGGGAGTCTGCCACTCTTGGTTTTTGGTTTACGGATTTACTGGACAGAAATGCCCAATTCTCCACCTGGATCTTCGATGGTAGACCAACCTACTTCTGGCTCACTGGATTCTTCAATCCTCAGGTAAATATTCTCAAAGTAAAATCTCTTCAGTGAATTGTTCAGGTTTTTTTCAAAATGATACATTGGATATATCATCCTGTGTCTTCCCAAAGGCTTTCAAAGGCAATAAATCACATTTCACAAATTAAAATTTTCTGACAGATATGTTTATGATACAATAAAATAATCAAAGCATCAAAGCAGAATTGGTCTTAGCATTAAGGGAATATATTGTTTATATTACATCTGCCTTTTCCAGGGCTTCCTGACTGCCATGAGACAAGAGATCACCCGAGCACACAAGGGCTGGGCCCTGGATGGTGTGGTCCTATCCAATGATGTCACCAAGATGATGAAGGAGGATATCACCAATCCACCATCAGAGGGTAAGTCAGTTTTTTTTAGTTTTTGTGATGATATAAAATGGACACTATGACCAGAGTGGATTTTTCATCATATCAGTGTTTTTACATGGATTCTTTCAAGTCCAAGAAAGCAGAAAGAGCTGGAAACACTGTTTAGATGTTTAGAAAACATGAAGTTGGTGCAAAATTGGACACCAGATATATGGCAAATTCTTATCACTTATTGAAAGATCAACATGAAGTTTTTGAAAAATGATATGATACAAACTTTTTCAAACATTTCCAGGTGTGTATGTTCATGGGTTGTTCCTGGATGGTGCAGGCTGGGATAGGCGTAATGCTCGCCTTATGGAACCATCGCCCAAAGTGTTGTTCACGCCTCTTCCTGTGGTCCACGTCTATGCCATCAACACAGAGAGACCGAAGGGCAACAACCTGTATGAGTGTCCAGTTTACAAGAAACCGCGCCGTACAGATCTTACCTACATCTTTGCTTTGCTACTGAAGACAGTCAAGGATCCAGATCACTGGATTTTGAGAGGAGTCGGGTTGCTCTGCGACACCAAGTGATCTAAATATTGTATCATTGTTTTCACTTTATTTGTTTTTTGAATTGGTCACTTTATATCTGTCTTGCCTGATTTCTTCACATTTTGGAAGTCTTGAGTTGCTCAATGTGGACTAAACACAATGATAACAAGGACATGATTAATGTATTATATGAAATTATTTTGCCTGTACAAGCATAATTTGAACTTTATGGTTCTGGGTCCAGTTTTAACCCACTGCAGTATTACCCAAATACTTGGAATGCCATTTTATGGACTGCTTTGAATTCTGTATAAAGATCACACATACTCCCAATGGATTCAAGTCTTCGAAACAAAAGATGTGATATGAAAGTTGAAAAATCAATTTACAACTTGTCAGTTCTCCTTCCAATACAATGAAAATGTAAAAAAATTTATCAAAGTATTATAATATATGGAATTTTAGCTTTACATATGATAATGCATATTATATTTTCCATTCAAGTGAAAAAAAAAAGAAATCTATGTTTTATCAGCTGGAAACCTGCATAAAATGTTTTTTTCTGTTGGCTCGTTTTTTAGAGAAGCATATTTACTCATTTTATTATACAGACTGTGATTTATTTGTGAATTATATATTTAATGTGGACTAATATAATAGCATAATTATTGGGGTTTTATGGGAAAGCACGTGTGAGATTGAATAACAAATCTATATTTATATATTGCTTTTTGTTTGTGCATTTTAGTGCAACCGAAATAAAAAAATCTTTTATGAGTCACAAAATGGGTTTTGTTTTAAGAGATTAACCAAAAATGTAAACAGTTATCCCATTCAAAAGGTGATAACATCTACTGAAAAAAGAAAAAAATATGTATATATATATTGTTACCAGCACATGGAAACTTTATTATAACAGTTACTGTTAAAATATACAAGCAAAGAATGGCAGATTGACATCTTTAAAAAGACTCCATAGTTATATGGTTACACTATCTATTGAAAATAACAGTGATTTCTAACAATTGTCTTTCAATATAATATGTTGATTTTTCAAAACTACCAATTTTCCATCATGTTCATTTTAAAAGCATTCCAGCAGAAAATGCTATTATTCAAACAGTCACAAAAAGGATATAAATATAAAATATTGTTACCAACAAAAGTACACTGCAAAGAGACTGATAAGGATTCTACTTCTACGTTGGTTTGTATCTGAAATTTTGGCACATCCTAACAATAATTTAAAAAATGATTTCTGTAATATAAATTTAGAACATACATCTATCCACTATCACAAATATTTTTTACAATGTATCAAAATTAAGAAACAATGTTAATAAACATATTAGTAAATACCCTTTGAACGCACTTAAATTTGTTAATGCTAAATATTTTTCTTAAAAATATAGTTGTCTCCAGAAATAAACTATATTATGTATCAACATTAAGAAATAATTCAGTCTATAATTCAGTCTATACACTAACACAATAAAAAAAGTTTTTAACACAAAACAATGTAACGTACATGTAAATAGCTGTTAAGGATCATATAGAACAACACAATATTTGAAATAATGCTCGAAATTAATCGGGTCTATTCTCCAACTTGACCTGCACTTTGGCCTTACAGCAAGCAAGTTGCAAGAAAAATGCAATATCTGTTTTCTAAACATCCCAACAGTTCTTGGCACCATTCCTTATTCCATCTCTTTCTAACAGAAAGATATTGAGGTACACACACCCTTACAAACTGCTCAAACATAAGAATTATCAAATATGTCATTTAAGTATCATCACAAAATTTGATATAGAAACTACAACATGGACCCGCATGTTCTCCCCAACATACAAAATATATGAGAAATACCNCTGTATGAGTGTCCAGTTTACAAGAAACCGCGCCGTACAGATCTTACCTACATCTTTGCTTTGCTACTGAAGACAGTCAAGGATCCAGATCACTGGATTTTGAGAGGAGTCGGGTTGCTCTGCGACACCAAGTGATCTAAATATTGTATCATTGTTTTCACTTTATTTGTTTTTTGAATTGGTCACTTTATATCTGTCTTGCCTGATTTCTTCACATTTTGGAAGTCTTGAGTTGCTCAATGTGGACTAAACACAATGATAACAAGGACATGATTAATGTATTATATGAAATTATTTTGCCTGTACAAGCATAATTTGAACTTTATGGTTCTGGGTCCAGTTTTAACCCACTGCAGTATTACCCAAATACTTGGAATGCCATTTTATGGACTGCTTTGAATTCTGTATAAAGATCACACATACTCCCAATGGATTCAAGTCTTCGAAACAAAAGATGTGATATGAAAGTTGAAAAATCAATTTACAACTTGTCAGTTCTCCTTCCAATACAATGAAAATGTATAAAAATTTATCAAAGTATTATAATATATGGAATTTTAGCTTTACATGTGATAATGCATATTATATTTTCCATTCAAGTGAAAAAAAAAAGAAATCTATGTTTTATCAGCTGGAAACCTGCATAAAATGTTTTTGTCTGTTGGCTCGTTTTTTAGAGAAGCATATTTACTCATTTTATTATACAGACTGTGATTTATTTGTGAATTATATATTTAATGTGGACTAATATAATAGCATAATTATTGGGGTTTTATGGGAAAGCACGTGTGAGATTGAATAACAAATCTATATTTATATATTGCTTTTTGTTTGTGCATTTTAGTGCAACCGAAATAAAAAAATCTTTTATGAGTCACAAAATGGGTTTTGTTTTAAGAGATTAACCAAAAATGTAAACAGTTATCCCATTCAAAAGGTGATAACATCTACTGAAAAAAGAAAAAAAAAATATATATATATATATTGTTACCAGCACATGGAAACTTTATTATAACAGTTACTGTTAAAATATACAAGCAAAGAATGGCAGATTGACATCTTTAAAAAGACTCCATAGTTATATGGTTACACTATCTATTGGAAATAACAGTGATTTCTAACAATTGTCTTTCATAATAATATGTTGATTTTTCAAAACTACCAATTTTCCATCATGTTCATTTTAAAAGCATTCCAGCAGAATATGCTATTATTCAAACAGTCACAAAAAGGATATAAATATAAAATATTGTTACCAACAAAAGTACACTGCAAAGAGACTGATAAGGATTCTACTTCTACGTTGCTTTGTATCTGAAATTTTGGCACATCCTAACAATAATTTAAAAAATGATTTCTGTAATATAAATTTAGTACATACATCTATCCACTATCACAAATATTTTTTACAATGTATCAAAATTAAGAAACAATGTTAATAAACATATTAGTAAATACCCTTTGAACTCACTTAAATTTGTTAATGCTAAATATTTTTCTTAAAAATATAGTTGTCTCCAGAAATAAACTATATTATGTATCAACATTAAGAAATAATTCAGTCTATAATTCAGTCTAAACACTAACACAATAAAACAAGTTTTTAACACAAAACAATGTAACGTACATGTAAATAGCTGTTAAGGATCATATAGAACAACACAATATTTGAAATAATGCTCGAAATTAATCGGGTCTATTCTCCAACTTGACCTGCACTTTGGCCTTACAGCAAGCAAGTTTCAAGAAAAATGCAATATCTGTTTCCCAAACATCCCAACAGTACTTGGCACCATTCCTTATTCCATCTCTTTCTAACAGAAAGACACTTATGTACACGTACCCTTACAAACTGCTCAAACATAAGAATTATCAAATATGTCATACAAGTATCATCACAAAACTTGATATAGAAACTACAACATGGACCCGCATGTTCTTCCCCAACATCAAGCATTAACTCTAAGCAGGGAATCATACAAAATATATGAGAAATACCCCTGAACATTTGATGTCAACTCTTTTTATATGCCAGATACTATATAATTTGAAAGATTTAGGCCCCTTTTTATATCACAAAATATACTTATGTGATACAATCTGGATTAGTTCACTGTGAAAGATTGACAAATAATAGCCTGGCTAGTATGTAAAGGATTTACCTAAATAGAGCCTCCACACTCAACGCAGCCCATTATTTTTCTTAACTGCACAGCAGTAAGCATGGAGAATATGATACAGACTGTATGGATTAGGTATACTGCTCAATGTGAAAAGGGTCTTTGTAAGTCTATTGTGGTTCAATATTCTAAAATGCATCAAAGATTCTTCAAAAATGTAAATTAGCTCCAAAAAAATCTTTTGATGCCAAACCTTCAGTAAAATACCAATAAAAAATAGTTCAAGCATAAACATGCCTTTATCAAATGAATTCTTTAATATAGATGTAGGACGGCATATTCTCAAAGATCTCTGTGATAGTATAAATATATTTACATCAAAAGTATCTGGACTTATTTTGCATTGTGCTTTGGACGTTGCCGCTGGTGCTCTGAACACCTTGGTTATTCTGTCTTTTTAGTCTTCCCATGTTGTCCTGCTGTATTTTAGGAGATGAGGGACTTCCAGGCTGCACCTGTCCCTGCCCTGCTGCTGCACTGGTGTGGGCATAGGAATATCTTGACTGATTGGGCTGACTCCATGAACGTCCACCTGAAGGACAATTAAATATCTATTTTTTATCTATGACAATGTTATTTCATTTTGCTGGAGAGATATCATTACGATCTTATTTTAATAAGATTATATAAAATAGATTCTTAAAAGAATAAAAAACTCAAATTCATAAAACTTCTGTTCCTCAAGGACAACACTTATATTCAATAATAAAGTGTTGCACAAAAGCCATGACTGCAATTATGACTCATTGCAAATGTCCTAAAATGCTTCAAACTTGAATTCAAATTCAACACATTCTTTGGCTGATACGGAATGAAAGAACTGCTGCAACCAAAGTATATATCTTCAATACACCCAAGCAGCAGAGTACATTCAATAGCAAGGCAAAAACATGCATATATTTCTTTCAAGCAATTTTTTAGTGTGTTCCTCACAATAAAATATAACAACGCTATTTTATGGCACGTTTGTTTTGTTCAGAACTTCAGATCAATACCCCCATGGGTTGCCCGGGTCAATTAGCATCAACACATTCTGTGTACACTGCCGAGCATACATAATACCGTTATAAAAACAAATAACAATGAAAACACCTGCACAAGCTTCATGAAAGTAAAAATTGATCTCTGGTTTGCCCCAAGCTGTTGGACGTGATCAGCAGGCCTGACAGTCAAATGTCTACAAAAAATCTCTGTGCACAAAGGAAATACTGTAGACATAACCAATTCAAAGCTCTAAGTGCAAACATGATAGACATTCGAAAAAACTTGCACTTACCTGGTGAAGTGTTACCGGTAATGTTTTGATGGTTCAAGTCCTCATCTGAAAGAAAATCAAAGAAAAATGAATAAGATCTACCTATTACATATAGATTGTAGAATCACATTACACTAATTAAGAGAAAGGTCCATTATCAGCTTTCAAGCCTTTTCAGAGATGTCTGTTTTTACAGTACATTTGTTCTTGATCACACTATGAGAGATGTGGTTCAGGGCTAATAGAAATACAGATATTACATATATTGTTGAATTTGTTGTACAACCAATGAAATACTACATTTTTATAGCAAAAGATATTTAATTTTCTTGACCTAAACTGGGTCTTGAACTTTCATTACAATTAAAAATCAAACTTTCACATATCATGCCAATAAGAATCCAATGACTGACTTGTGGACAGTTTATAATACAACTGTAATCAATATTATGAAAGCAACATGGTACAGTA